AATCTCCTGCTACATTTCTCCACATTTTAAAGGTCATTCTCCTGCTACATTACTCCACAATTTAAATATAAATCCCCTGCTACATTTCTCCACATTTTAAAGATCAATCATCTGCTACATTTCTCCACAATTTAAAGATAAATCTCCTGCTACATTTCTCCACAGTTTATAGGTCAATCTCCTGCTACATTTCTCCACAGTTTATAGGTCAATCTCCTGCTACATTTCTCCACATTTTATAGGTCAATCTCCTGCTACATTTCTCCACAATTTAAAGATCAATCTCCTGCTACATTTCTCCTGAGTTTATAGGTCAATCTCCTGCTACATTTCTCCACAGTTTATAGGTCAATCTCCTGCTACATTTCTCAACATTTTAAAGATCAATCTCCTGCTACATTTCTCGCACAATGTATATATCAATGTTCTGCTACATTTCTCGCACAATGTATATATCAATGTTCTGCTACATTTCTCGCACAATGTATATATCAATGTTCTGCTACATTTCTCAATATCTTATAGATCAATGTTCTGCTACATTTTCATATTTTATAGATCTACATTTCTCCAGTTTGCATTTCACCTTATTTGGTCTTGCACCAACAGCCAAATTTCTGGCTGAATTAGAGTCAATTACACACACTAGCAGCAGGGCATCATCACCTCAAATAGTTTAAGCAGTTGAAATAGAAAGATGTTTTAAATACCGATAAACCATATTAATCATCTCTATGTCATTAAGCTGATAAAGCTTTATACCGGTAAATTTCCACTCTTAGTAATTGTATTACATAATAGCGGTTGTTTAAAGTTTTATATGCTTAACAATATCAAATTAAACAAAAAAACCCGACTGCAATTGATTTTTTATATTGAAATTGATAACCAAAATTACATGTATCGGAAATTTATTTACTTATATAACGACAAAAGATGCAAATATATGGTTACATATGTATTTCTAAAGATTTGTTGTTTTCAAGTGTCATGGTGAAAGTAACAGGAAGTTTATCAACAAGCTGAAACCAATGGGTGGTCTATTTTTACAATTTAGCCCCACCAACCACGTACACGTCTTCAGGATCTTTCAAAAAGATAAGCATTGTTTACTAACATTGGATTTATAGATCAAAATCTATTTTATGTAAAATTGGTTTATCGTAAATTGAGTGCCACAAAAAATACAAGATATAATGTGCATATATAATATATGATACTAAAATGGATTTCATTGATTTGTATTGAATATAATTGATAAACAAATATATTATATGATGTGTGTACTGTGTGCACAGTCGATAATAGGCTACTTGTAACAGGTACGATAACTTATGTCACCGAGTGAAACGACACATTTTTTCACCGCTGAGGTTCCAGAACTTCAAAAATAGTAACATCGCTCAGTTTAATGAATGTATGGTAAGTCAACAAATGTCTTGATTTATATCTAAATGAAAAATGTACCTTGAAAGTTAACAGTGTTTAATGACTTACGCCAGTTATTGTAGAAGCTAGTATTGTCGTTTCACTAGGACAGGAGCTTGTGACGACGATAAAGACTTCGATTAAAACCTGTGTAGCGAATGATTTGATGGAGTTTGTGGATTTCTCAACAGTATTCAGAACATCACAATAAGTATATTCCACTAATATAAGTTATATTAAGATATGTCAAATAGTTCATTAGAACGCCAACCATAACGTCTGGGATGTTGCGTTATTAGTTGAATTTGAGATGATGATAACTCGAGGTGGCAGTCTATGTAAAGTGAAGGGTTCATGTTTATCATATCTATGTACAGAAAAAGAGGTGGAATGTAAATGTTATCAGATATCTCTCTATCAGGGGCTTATTTGTTATCGGTGTAGAAGGAAGTAATATACTAGTAAAAGGATACCCAAGCCTATCGATAATATCACATGTCATGTACAAGGAGAAAAAACAGAATTGCAGAAGTGCATTAACACAGTATGAAGTGTAGCGAAACAAAGCTTGGATGATCGCCTGTGATCAGTTACAGTGCAGCTCAGTTGTTTTGAGCGTCCGTTCTATTAACGGAAATGATATAGCTTCATGGTGTCGGGGGCTATTATCATGTAGCTATATAATATTGTCCACCGTATTTGTGTTTAAGCGCATGAATGTTCGAGTGTTTGTTTGTATTGTATGAAAATAGATTATACAGAACTTATATTTTTGTCCATTGATCAGTTCACACAGCTTCTGAACTCCTAAGATCCTTAGGAACAGGTGAATGAAGATATCAGAGGCGTATTTCTGTGTCCTGCAATGGTCAACCAACTTTCTGTGGCTCTACGATGCCCAAATAAACCAGCTTTGATTGACTATGGAACACAAATTGATGTTGTGAATTCCAATGCAAATTCAGAGCATTGTCAATACCTACTTCGAACGCTCTTGATATGCCGCCTTTCAATTGAGTTGAATACAAACTATCCTTTGATTTGAGGTAGTCCAAATGCGTCATTAGGTGTCAATGGGTTAAATGATACTGATTGAAAGTACAAAATGTACATGCTACGTGTTTGGAGGGTATAGATAGGTTAAATTCGCGAGATCGACAGAAATAAACAATATATTAGACGCTGACAGACATTGTAACCATGCATATGGAAAGAGGGATATTTTCTTGTTCTCGGTTTTATATATAAAGGCAGTGTAGTGACCATGCGTGTATTTAACGCCATTCGCAAACACAAACAAACAAATGTATATTTTTGTAGAATTATATTATGTATTATTGTCTATGTTGTTACTTCGGCATCTTTATGACTTTGAACAGTGCCCATTTACGAAAGCAAAGAGAACGTCAACATATATTGAAATTAGAGCTAAGTTATCTTTATCTGTAATAAGGCATAAAGACTGCTACCTTCAAAACATATTTTACCGACATATTACATTAAGCAATCAGAATGCTACGAAATATCACCATATGTACAGTTTATTTTCATACCTGCTTCATGTGGAGGCATGATTTCACAGTAACTACCTGTTGAAAGCTATACCGCCATTCAGTTTGGTAACAGAAGAGTCTGACATGTCATTATGTCGAATAAGTATTTATTTTGAAATCTGCCTTTATGTCTTATTCCGAAGTAATTGCATATTTTGATAACTACGTACGTTAATCTCAACATCGATCGATGCTAAATTAGGGTTTAAAAAAAATACAACTCATCATGGGGTTAAAATTCAAGCACGCTATTCAATCTTTTAGGGAGCTTGTTGCAGCTTAAATAAGGTATGTTTGTAACCAATACCCTATTATGTATAATGTTAAGCTACTCTTGTTGACAGGTACTCTAAATCGACTTACAAATGACGGCACGTGGAGAGGAACAAACACTTAAGGAAATTTATAATTTATTAAAGGATCGTGTTTTGTCTTATACTAAAGATAGTAACCAAATGATGAATGCAAACGACCGTATGAAAGACACACTTCAAACAACGGTCAGACAATTGAGTTCGATGGGAAATGCTACTACTGGACCTCCTAGACCGTTTATTGCCGGTAATAAACCTGGGCCTGAAGAAATTTCCAAACTCCAAGATGTAAACAAAATTCTGGAAGCTCGCCATTTGTCAATTAGTAGGAGGCTGGCTAAAACGGAGACTGACCTTTCCAAGGTACTGTATGAACTGTGGCAGTTGTCTCATACGTGTTTCAGGCACTTAAACTGCTTAGGAGATTTCTGCTAGATTATTATTATTATTATTATATTGTATGGTTAACAGATCAGAGATCACCAATTCATAGATTCTTTCGTTTCTTTACTTGTTTGTTTGTTTATTTTGGGTTTAACGACTTCGAAACATCCAAGGAAATATGATTATGGATGTCTAGGTATACAGTAACGAAAATAAAATGTAGACAAGTGAAATAGGGAAAAAATAGATCCAAAGTGGCAATGTGGTTAACAGATCGATTTTGGTCTCTTTGATGTCCCTTAAGTTGAAGACACCGAAAAATCCCCGATGCTGCAGAGGATCCCATATAAGTCGTCTCGTACGACAAAAAGACAATAGGACGTCATTGATGTTTAGTAATTTTGTATATTTGACGCGAAACCTGTGGTTACATGTACATTGTTCACGTTGCGATAGGCAAACGAAACAGGACTGTTTTATGATTCTAATGAATTCAACTCAACTAGCAATCAAACATATTTCCAGGTGAATGATAAACTTCAACAACTAGAGAAAGGTTTGGTTGGTATACTTGACTCCGATAAATCACGTGACAACACTGTACTGGAGCTCCTCCTGGAGGTGAGATCGTCTGTAAATGAATGCCGACAGGTACAAACTCATACGGACGGACAGGTTGAGAAAATCAGCGTTGGGATTCAGGTAAGATATACATTTTTATTAAGAGCACACACAGATGCAATAAGATATCCACTTTCAAGCAATGCTAAGTGTTCATTTTTCTCGTCAATTCTTAAGAAGAAACGATCGTTTCAGCCAAACATTTCAAAAAGATACGATGAAGCAAAGAAAATATAACATATATTATAACATACTTTACACGCAGTGATTGGTTACCTGCTGTCTGTGATGTCACCATTCGTAGAGGTACAAGTGGGGAAATTAATTGCAAACAAAATGTGATGGATAAAGCCAGATAGATGCGCATGTTCATACAGGATTGTAAGACATTGTTCTGCTATTCCACGCACGGCGGCGATGTTGTTAAGTTATGGTCGGGAATTGATAAAATCAGAGAGCTCCGAATTGTGCCATTTCAGGTTCATACTAATACCAGAACTAGACGGAAAACCAGGACCAAGTGCTTTAATGTGTTTCTTTCTTGTTTTTAAATGCAACTACCTTAATGAATTGATATGACCTGAATAAAAATGTATTTTAGCACAAGTTTGTATAAAAAAATATGCATTGCATTATGATTTGAAACAGGAATCCAAAACATACCCAACATACGACATTACCAGACCTGGTTTTAGTAAAAAAGCAAAATCACAAAAGCCGTAATAACAAGTAAAAACAGTATTTGAAACATATCTTTTTTATTTTATTTAAACATTAAGTATGGTGTTCTTGTATTTCCTACATGAAATAACAACATAAAATAAGCTTTAAAATTGAGTTAATTATAATTAAAATAAATATTTGGTCCCGGTTTTCCCTGTCCTTGTTTAAGTAATGACTGTTTTGGTCCTGGCAGGATCTGGGTCACTAAACCAATTTTTTTTTTCAATTTTCTTATTTATGTATAAGTATTTATATGTTCTTTTAAATTATATAACAATTTTTCTAACTTGCACAATAACTTTAAAAAATACCAAAAAATACATGCTGGTCCTGACAATCCGGATCTGGTATAAGTGTGACCTGCGTTGTAATTGTCATTGATTCTAATATTTTAAGTAGTACTAGTCATTGGTTGCATGCTACTCATGTTATCACTTTCTTATTGGATATGGATGCCCCTGTTAGGGCATTTACACGAAATCACATGTATATATTATGTAACAGGGTTTGTACAGGCCTTGAGGAATAATCCTATATATATATTTTAAATAAATTATCAGTATAACTACGCCAGCTTCTACATACCCATCTATCTCACACTGTACTATAACTGCTTACTAATAAATAATGCTGTTGGTAGCCCTCTTAGTTTTTGGAAAGCTAATACTTGTATTCATTTATATTTTATTTATTTACTTTTTTAAAGTTTGTTTTGCTCCATGTTGATTTTCGTAAATTAAATATTTCACTAAGATAGAAACAGTCATAGTTGTTACAAAAAAACAGTATATACATGTATATAGTGAAATTTTATGAAAATTTACTGAATAATATAGATAAGAAAAGTACTAGAATCATAGAGAAAACATTGTTTATAAAGGGGCCTATCCAGAACACCCACGATTCTCATAGATACCCTTGTGTAAGGAATATTTTAAACATGTTCCTTTATTTCTGCTGATGCTGTATTCTTGTGTATTATATTGGATATGGTAGCAACTACTGCAAAACCAACAGAATGTATCCCGTGGCAATCTTTCAGAGGTACAAATTCCAGCAGAACTGAATTTTTACTGCACTAAAATACAAGCACAAGGTAAAAAGTTATCTGTATATTTATTGATATATGTACTATTATTGACTGATTTATTTGAGATAAATACCAATGACTTAGATGCATTTTATTAGGTCACCTGAGACAAAGTCTCAAGTGATCTATCGTGATCGAACTTTTTCCGGCGTCGTGCGTCGTGCGTCGTGCGTCCTTAAACAATTTACATTTTCGACATTTTCTCCAAAGTACCTGAACCAATTTCAATGAAATTTTGCAGAAACCTTCCATGGCCAAAGGTCCATAAATACAGTGAATTAAATGGTCCCCAGCCCCCAGGGTCCTGAGGAGGGTGTCAAATTGACTAAAATTTCAAAAATCTTCTTCTCAAGATCCAGATATGGTAGAATCAAATACTCTTCATAAATGGAAGGGTCTTAAGGTGTTTTTCCAAAATTGTGAATTTCATGACACTGGGGTATCACGTTTCCCCCTGGGGAGGAGTTAAACTTTACTATGGTTTATATCAGCCCTGATTGACCCCCAGGGGCTGATGGGTGGGGCCAAAAAGGGTTGAATTTACTGAAATTTCAAAAATCTTCTTCTCAAGACCCAGATATGGTAGAATCAAATACTCTTCATAAATGGAAGGGTCTTAAGGTGTTTTTACAAAATTGTGAATTTCAAGACCCTGGGGTATCACGTTTCCCCCTGGGGAGGAGGTAAACTTTACTATAGTTTATATCAGCCCTGACTGACCCCCAGGGGCTAATGGGTGGGGCCAAAACGGGTTGAATTTACTGAAATTTCAAAAATCTTCTTCTCAAGACCCAGATATGGTAGAATCAAATACTCTTCATAGATAAACGGGTCTTAATGTGCTTCACCAAAATTGTGAATTTGATGACCCTTTGGTCTCACGTTTCCCCCTGGGGAGGAGGTTAACTTTACTTATAGTTTAATTGTGAATTATATGGTCCCCAGCCCCAAGGAGCCTGAGGGGCGGGGCAAAAAAGAGTTAAACTGACTAAAATTTCAAAAATCTTCTTCACAAGATCCAGATATGGTAGAATCAAATACTCTTCATAGATAAACGGGTCTTAATGTGCTTCACCAAAATTGTGAATTTGTTGACCCTTTGGTCTCACGTTTCCCCCTGGGGAGGAGGTTAACTTTACTTATAGATGGAAGGGTCTTAAGTTGCTTTAACATAATTCAGCTGACAGACAGAACCACTATTTGTACATAGTACATATACTACCCAGATCTTTCACACTACTTTTGCATTACAGGTAGTTCAAGTTACCTTTGTTACAAAATGATTTCTTTTTCATTTGGCAACATCGATAACATCCGGTTTAGCACTCAGGTGACCGTTAAAGCCCACGATCCTCTTGTTTGTACATGCATGTTACTGAACCATCGGTTAAATCATAGAGTAAAATCTCGTTATGTTGCCACCATTTGTCCAGTGAATTTGCCTTTATAAAGTATGACGATACATCAATTGTGGCGTATGAGGAAGTGTTGAAAGACAAATGGTTTAGTTAGACTACTTTGAGGTATAATTCTTAACAGCAGATTGGACCCATTAGGAACATTTTCGACCAAATTTGTCAATGAATAAGTTTAATTAAACTACAAGTCTACAATTAAAAACAAAATTCTTTTTATTTCTTTTTAAATGACAAAAAATGGTAATTTGCTACAGTTTGTCACAAATCGAAATTTGCTTTATGATGTTTATACGAAAATTAATAGGAAAAGACTTCCAAATGTTGGGTAGAACCTTGAACATCGAGGAGAACGTACTTCAGACAATTACCCAACGTTATGGTGACGATGAGGAAGACGAGAAATTTCAACAGGTGATCCGAGAATGGGCGAAGAAACCCGAAGCTGTGCACATCCGGGACTTTTTGGAAGCTTGTCATATAGCAAGTGGAAACACGGGAAAAGGTATCGGACTTTTATTATTGACTTTACACCATATATGTCATCAAAACTTCTGGCTTTTATGTTATTGGAAGTCTGGTTTTGCATTTCTGTTTTTCCTCTAGTCTCAATTTAGTTAATTTACTTGCTAAAATTTCATTGCACGAGTGATGTTGAATTACGATTTTGTCAAAAAATATTTTATATACTCCCATTGAAAATGGGCGGATTGGTCAAGTATTTAACACTCCGGCCTTCCACGCAGGCGGCCGGGGTTCGATCCCCGAAGTCGTTGTACGCATGGAATATTCAGAGAAAGTGTTTTTCTCCTGCCCACACAACTCCAACAACCCAGGTGGAGTATAAAATAGTCTGGGGTGGATGCTGCGGTATCTGTGCTGTAGCATTCAAGAGAGGTGGCACTATAAATTATACCGTTGGAACACGGTCCCACTACAAACAGAACACAATACCACTATAGCACACATACAGGCATACACACATAGGAAGATATTAGCCATGTTGAATATGGCTAATAGTAAGCGCCTGATAAGGCATCACCTGCAAAGTCCTCAAACTTTTATTGATTAATGTAAATCCATTGATTGCATATAAATGGTATACCTTTGTACTGTAAAGCGATTTAGAGTGGCTTATTCTTGCTAGATAGGGCGCTTTCTCAAATGTTGCATATTATTATTATTCAAAATAATTCATTGGTGGATTAAATTTAACATCTTTATGGTTAATTAAGAAGAAACATTTTTGATCACAACTTCTATGGCAATATATAATTCATTTGACTGTTCTCGTTGATGAACGTTTGGTTGATTTAAGCCTTGTTAAATAACGATGATATATTGTTATATTCCTTAGAATATAACTGCATACCTCATTAGGCACTCTCAGATTCGGTCCAGGCGTCGTGCAATGGTTATGATTTTGGGAACCCCCCTGTCTAAACCCAAGTGTGAGACAAGGATATCTCTCACCGGGAAAAGTGTGGAGACACCTGTCCAGGGACAGAGAAAACTTGGTGAACTATGATGTAATGAAGCATCAACGTGTAACACAACAAGCTGAACAACATGCTTCTGGAACACGACAGCAAATCTACCTGCACAAGATTATATAGCGATACAACATCAAACACATACATGTAGTTCTAAGGCACACCAAGTGTTGTACCCGAGCCATCCCAGGCACCTCCAGCCGAGGCCTTCTCTGGTCTCTCTCCAGTAGCTCACAATCCCGAACCCCGCATCCCGTCTCTCAGTTTAAGATTTCCTGTGGAATTCTCCCCAAGTACTTTTAACAATCTATACACTATTAACCATTCATGATTATGTACCACCTACTGTACATACGAAATGAGGTTCGTGCAGCAATTTAAGTTAACTTCTAATCTTTTCCCCAACCAAAACAACAATGCTAGATGTGACATATGGCAAACACAGTTACCCCTGGCTGGTGTGTGATCCATTACTGACCTGGCCGCCACTAGATGGATATAGCCCTAAAGCACTATCTACAATTCAACAGTACCCCCGTCAATCAATGCACGGTGTTACCCAAATCTTAAGATTTGACCCCAAATGTACTTTTGTGTTAAGTGCTGCTCCCTATCGATACCAGCTATCTTACATGTTATAAGATGATGGTAACAATCTTTATCATTAATTATATAATTTACAGCCCATTTTGTTACAAATGTCAATTTGTCATATATAATTCTGATTCAGAATTTCTGTATTTGGTTGCATCTCTGATGGTGTGGATGCTAATTAACCTACGCACATATTCCAATGGATAATACTGGTGTATTCCGTCCATGCCATCAAGGACTCAACTATACCATATGTCCAACCTATCACATCAGTTATGAAGGTAGTGATATAGTTAGCTTATCGTAACGCAATTGTTGTAATCACCTCTCGCATAATTCATAGTATTGCTGCTACAGTATTGCTTATATTCAGGCAAACCTTTAGTACCAAAAGAAAAGGAGAAACTTCTTCAAAATGTATCATATCTGTGCGACAATATGCTTGATGTTCCATTGGTGCTCCCTCATCTGGTGACGAAATCTGTGATATCTCCTCGACTGTCCGAGTATGTCTTGGCACCGTCTGGAAGAATAGAGAGGATTTTACGACTTGTAGATGTGCTTTGTACAAAAGAATCTGGATTTGAGGAATTTTATGTTGCCCTTAAAATTTCTGACCAAGCTCACGTCGCCGAGAACATGGTTGAAGGAGGTATGTTTGCGTGGTTGTATATGTGCGAGATGTTTGCATAGCGGGGAACATATTTTTGTTTATACCCGAGAAATTAGTTATCAGCTTATGATGTCAAAGACGTTTGCTATATAACTTTGCATTAATCATTTTATCAATTGTTAGACACAAAGAACGGGAAATAAAAATACTTTATTCTAACTATGAAATATCTATAGAGTCAACAACGTTTACTTCATTATCAATATGAAATTAAGATTTGTTTTAATTTAACTTCAGTTGTGCCTGGGTGTGGTAAACGCCCAGCTTCATTTTCCGGTGTAGGCGAGGAGCGAGAAGAGGACGCACAAAGTACCATGTCAGAAGACGTAATGGCGCCAGATTATGACATTCTCCAGAAAATAGTATTGTTGCTTAAGAAACGAGGCATTGTGTAACTGCTGACTATAGCGCGAGTTTGGACATCATCTTTGTGTATTTAAGTGGTAAAAATGCTAGGCGTTTAAAAAGACTTCCTCTCCTACTTCTTCATTTTCTCAACAAAAGCAACATATCCATTGCAAGGAAATATGAAAGTATTCCTCGGCGTCTACAGAAAAGTACAAAATCAAAACTAAAGATGAGTGCATAATGACAACAAGTGGAGTGACGAGGCACTCAAAATTAAATGAAAAACAACAAAAAACCCACAAAAATGTCTGTACATTTATACACATCACGTTATGAACGAAACATAATAGAGCTTTTAATCACTTGTAATACAAATATCGTCATATGAAATTATGGTTAAAGCATTTTTATGAAACACCACGAATAGCTCTAAATAATTTAAGTGACAATGATTACTGGAGTGCTTACTTGATCTGTCAATATCGTTTCATTGATATTGAAGATTATAATTTTTTCATATTATTTCCGACAAGTGATTGGCCAGGAGTGCATCAAGTGTCCACCGATAAAAAACGATATTGACTTGGAGCGAGTGATTTTTGTTGAAGGACTGGATGTTTCTAAAAATAGAATTATGACGTGTCTCCAAACAATGCCCCGTCCCCCTTCCGAAGCTTTTTTTTTTTTTTTTTGAGATTGCTTACATTACTGTTTTGTAAAATAATAAAACAATTGTAGCCTTTAACTTCGGTCAATACCTGGATATATTCATATAATGTAAATGATCAAGCTTGTGAGGTCTTTATGTCTTTGAGTTTGCATAGTCAAATAGTTTAAATCAGTGAAGTACACTATGATTTTAAAACCCAAATGTAATTGAATGTCATTATCTAGAAATTTGATAATAGTTGCGTCCCCCTTAGTACTGATATACGATTATTATCACTAGATATCACAGAAAAGGACTTAAATATGGATAGCTTGATGACCAGTGCTATCTCCTTGAAAATATGTAGGCAACACTAATCGTATTTGTTTATCTGACATCTCAGACTGCGCGAGTTGATTGAGCGTTTCGATACATTTCAAGGGGTTTTTACTCGGCTAACAAAACATTGTATCGGTGGATATCCATGATATATGATTTTGATAAGCGAGTACCTATAGGTAATATGATTTTTGACAGATGTAATTTGGGTTATATATAACATTCTATATTTCTTATATATTTTCAACATATCCATTGCAAGGAAATATGAAACTGTTCCTCGGCGTCACCAGAAAAGTGAACAAGAGGTCCAATGGGCCTGCATCGCTCACCTGGTATTAATCTCACACTTGTAATCTTAAAAGTGGACTGAAATACAGCTACAGGCAGAATATCAATGTTTGATTCTTAAGAACCTATTAAAAGATTTTAAAGAAGACGCCTGTGACCTTGAATGTCGAACAAGGACATCAGGTTGAAAGTGGATCAAGGTCATTCATTTGAACAAACTTGGTAGTCCTTCATCCCAGCATGCTACAGGACTAATTTCAGGACCTTGGGCCTTTTGGTTATTGAGAAGTTGTTTGAAGATTTTAAAACATTTGACCCCTGTGACCTTGAAAATTGGTTAAGGTCATCCATTTTAACAAACTTGGTAGCCCTTTATCCCAGCATGCTACAGGCCCAATATCAGTACCCTGGGTCTTTTGGTTATTGAAAGGAAGTCGTTTGAATATTTTACATTTGACCCCTTTGACCTTGAAAGTTGGTCAAGGTCATTCATTTGAACAAAACTTGGTAGCCCTTCACCCCATCATGCTACGGGCCCAATATCAGTACCCTGGGCCTTTTGGTTATTGAGAAGAAGTTGTTTGAAGATTTTAAGACATCTGACCTCAGTGACCTTGAAAGTGGGTCAAGGTCATTCGTTTGAACAAACTTGGTAGCCCTTTATCCCAGCATGCTACAGGCCCAATATAAGTACTCTGAGCCTTTTGGTTATTGAGAAGAAGTTGTTTGAAGATTTTAAGACACCTGACCCCAGTGACCTTGAAAGTGGGTCAATGTCATTCATTTGAACAAACTTAGTAACCCTTCATCCCAGCATGCTACAGGCCTAATATCAGTACCCTGGGCCTTTCGGTTATTGAGAAGAAGTCGTTTGAAGATTTTAACATATTTGACCCCTTTGACCTTGAAAGAGGGTCAAGGTCATTTATTTTAACAAACTTTGTAGCCCTTCATACCAGCATGCTACAGGCCTAATATCAGTACCCTGGGCCTTTTGGTTATTGAGAAGAAGTTGTTTAAAAGTAAAAAGTTGACGCCGGACAGACGGACGACGGACGGACGACGGACGCCGCACCATGGCATAAGCTCACTTGCCCTTCGGGCAGGTGAGCTAAAAATCAAAACTAAAGATGAGTTCATAATAACAACAAGTGGACTGACGAGGCACTCAAAATTAAATGCAAAACAAATGTTATCTGTACATATATACACATTCACTTTAAGAACGAAACATAATGGAGTTTTAAATCACTTTATACTGTAACTACACTGTATAAGGTATATGTTACATCATCAATACATTCCTTTATATAGGCAATCATTGAATTTTTTTTTAAAGTTTGACAATAATTGCTTACTAATGATACGTTAGAAGGACACCACATTGATATGCAATGTACCTTTGTGATTATAGTTACTCATGCCGTACGTAAAAACCTATCCTTTGTATGTAAATATGTTTAAATCTTTTGAAATAAATACCCTCAATTGTGCGTATCAGCACGGACTTAGATCAAATTCCGTGGTAGCAGGATCAACATTCGATTTTGAGGTAATTTCTTAGCTGTCCTTAGAATGTGCTGGTTCTACTTTTAAAAGTCAAACTCCTGTGTATGTTTTCGTACAGCTGAACCTGTCCAGAAGGTAAGCATCTACCGTATATATTTATCATGCTAAATTAATTGAAATGTACATTTTTCGTTTTGAGGTTGGTTTTATTCTAACAATTAAGGAAGTGAAATAGAGTCAAATCTGAATTCGGAGACCAAACCGGGGAAGTTCATTAAGTTGTTAGTACTGGTTTCGGAAGGGATTGACCAGGTTAATAATGTAATTCCACCAGAGTGCTGAAGCTCCTTGTTTCTCTACTCATAAACACGTACATGTGTGGTGTAACAAAATGTCAACTTCTATAATATGGCATGACACAAGACACAGGTTTCCACAATAAAACACTCGGAATAAGCAACATATCCATTGCAAGGAAATATGAAAGTGTTCCTCGGCGTCTACAGAAAAGTACAAAATCAAAACTAAAGATGAGTGCATAATGACGACAAGTGGAGTGACGAGGCACTCAAAATTAAATGAAAAACAACAAAAAAAACAAAAAAAAAATGTTGTCTGTACATTAATACACATCACGTTATGAACGAAACATAATAGAGCTTTAAATCACTTGTAATACAAATGACGTCATGTGAAATTATGGTTAAAGCATTTTTATGAAACACCACGAATAGCTCTAAATAATTTGTTTAAGTGAAGATGATTACTGGAGTGCTTACTTGATCTGTCAATATCGTTTCATTGAAATTGAAGATTATAATTTTTTCATATTACTCCCGACAAATGATTGGCCAGGAGTGCATCAAGTGTCCACCGATAAAAAACGATATTGATTTAGAGCGCGTGATTTTTGTTGAAGGACTGGGTGTTTCTAAAAATAGAATTATGACGTGTCTCCAAACAATGCACCGTCCCACTTCCGAAGCTTTTTTGTTGTGTTTTCTTTTTAGATTGCTTACATTACTGTTTTGTAAAATAATAAAACAATTGTAGCCTTTAACTTCGGTCAATACCTGGATTTATTTGTATAATGTAAATGATCAAGCTTGTGAGGTCTATTTAAGCATTGAACTGTTTTTGTATGGTATTTATGATCTATTTCAATGACACAGCTTTGCAAGCAAACAACATAGTGCGCGCTAGCGCATTATGATTTGTTTGCTTGCAAAGCTGTGTCATTCAAATAGATCATAAATATCATACAAAAACAGTTCAATACTTATATTTACGTTTTCTCTGCCTCTTATGTTCTTTTTTAACTTATAATTTATAATTAAAAATTAAAAATGCCCGCCTTATCGACAGTTCACACAATTTCGTTCAATAGTTTGAACAGCGTTTTGTCGCGTGCTGATTGGCAAACAAAGTAGTACTTTGACATTTTAACAAACACTTCAAATTTATTCCACAATTTAGTATCAATACAATTGCGTATGATATGTCTATAGGGTGATTCCAGTTTTTCAATAGAAATCTGAGCTGAAAGTTAGATTTGAAATTGTTTCGATTTTCCCCCGGAACAAATTTCGCGCATGGATAAATACAGTGAACACCGTGAATGGAACCTTGACCTCAACGAGGGAGTTATTTTTGGAAGTTAATTCGAACTTTTCTCTTTGCTCATTTTGTGAAGAATCCAGGCGTGAATGTATTTGTTGATTGTATGGGAACCCGACAACAGTCGGTAGATTCTATAACAGCATCGTTATTTGACATGTCGTCTGAAACTGAGGAACCGTGGATCCGAGACGCGTGAAACTGATAGCGTTTGAAGTGAGTGATCTTGCGACGGAGCACAGGTTCGTTACAAATGTCTGAAATGACAAATGTTTATGTGTGCTGTGACTCATATCAGTAGGTCTGTAACATATGACTCAATAGGTCTATAGAATATGTGTATTTCAGACATTTATAACGAGCCCCTGTTGATCAGTGCAGTGTAACAGACGATATTCTGATAAATTGCATGAGCGTTAAAATTGTTTCCATTGCCGGCATTGGTGATTTCAACCGATGTGCATTTTGTACGATATTGCAGACCTTGGTCTTGTTTTCGTTGTAATAAAAGTGTTTTTTATTTTATTTTTTATTTTGCACATAAATTTACAATGACATTATCAAATCTCACAATGCCCAGCGATATTTCAGCAGCCGTCATGTTTATTTACATTGGATATTGTAGTTCCGGTCAGTGTTGTAATTAATACGCTAAGAATTGTGTCTCGTGCGGCATGGTAATTATGTCTCGTGCGGCATGGTAATTAAAGTCCTATCAACGACACAGCTTTCAAAGAGGCTATATAGTGACAATGCCATGCAAATGTAAATATATGTCTTTGAGTTTGCATAGTCAAATAGTTTAAATCAGTGAAGTACACTATCATTTTAAAACCCAAATGTAATTGAATGTCATTATCCAGAAATTTCATAAAAGTTGCGTCCCCCTTAGTACTGATATACGATTATTATCACTAGATATCATAGAAAAGGACTTAAATATGGCTAGCTTGATGACCAGTGCTATCTCCTTGAAAATATGTAGGCAACACTAATCGTATTTGTTTATCTGACATCTCAGACTGCGCGAGTTGATTGAGCGTTTCGATATATTTCAAGGGGTTTTTACTCGGCTAACAAAACATTGTATCGGTGGATATCCATGATATATGATTTTGATAAGCGAGTACGGAATTTGAGAGAGATTGAAAATATATAAGAAATATTGAATGTTATATATAACCCAAATTCCATCTGTCAACCTATAGGTAATAGGATTTTTGACAGATGTAATTTGGGTGATATATAACATTCAATATTTCTTATATATTTTCAACATATCCATTGCAAGGAAATATGAAACTGTTCCTCGGCGTCACCAGAAAAGTGAACAAGAGGTCCAATGGGCCTGCATCGCTCACCTGGTATTAATCTCACACTTGTAATCTTAAAAGTGGACTAAAATACAGCTACAGGCAGAATATCAATGTTTGATTCTTAAGAACCTATTAAAAGATTTTAAAAAAGACGCCTGTGACCTTGAATGTCGAACAAGGACATCAGGTTGAAAGTGGATCAACGTCATTCATTTGAACAAACTTGGTAGTCCTTCATCCTAGCATGCTACAGACCTAATTTCAGGACCCTGGGCCTTTTGATTATTGAGAAGTTGTTTGAAGATTTTAAAACATTTGACCCCTGTGACCTTGAAAATTGGTTAAGGTCATTCATTTTTACAAACTTGGTAGCCCTTCATCCGAGCATGCTACAGGCCCAATATCAGTTCCCTGGATCTTTTGGTTATTGAGAAGAAGTCGTTTGAAGATTTTACGACATTTGACCCCTTTGACCTTGAAAGAGGGTCAAGGTCATTTATTTTAACAAACTTTGTAGCCCTTCATACCAGCATGCTACAGGCCTAATATCAGTACCCTGGGCCTTTTGGTTATTGAGAAGAAGTTGTTTAAAAGTAAAAAGTTGACGCCGGACAGACGGACGACGGACGGACGACGGACGCCGCACCATGGCATAAGCTCACTTGACCTTCGGGCAGGTGAGCTAAAAATCAAAACTAAAGATGAGTTCATAATAACAACAAGTGGACTGACGAGGCACTCAAAAGGAAATGCAAAACAAATGTTTTCTGTACATATATACACATTCACTTTAAGAACGAAACATAATGGAGTTTTAAATCACTTTATACTGTAACTACACTGTATAAGGTATATGTTACATCATCAATACATTCCTTTATATAGGCAATCATTGAGGTTTTTTTTAAAGTTTGTCAATAATTGCTTGCTAACGACACCACATTGATATACACTGTACCTTTGTGATAATAGTTACTCATGCCGTACGTACAAACCTATCCTTTGTATGTAAATATGTTTAAATTTTTTGAAATAAATACCCTCAATTGTGCGTATCAGCACGGACTTAGATCCAATTCCGTGGTAGCAGGAATCAACATTCGATTTTGAGGTAGTTTCTTAAACTTTGGTCAATGTCTTCTTAACTTCACCAAACGTGAGCTAGCTGTCCTTAGAATGTGCTGGTTCTACTTTTAAAAGTCAAACTCCTGTGTATGTTTTCGTACAGCTGAACCTGTCCAGAAGGTAAGCATTTACCATATATATTTATCATGCTAAATTAATAGAAATGTACATTTTTCGTTTTGAGGTTGGTTTTATTCTAACAATTAAGGAAGTGAAATAGAGTCAAATCTGAATTCGGAGACCAAAACGGAGAAGTTCATAAAGTTGTTAGAACTGGTTTCGGTAGGGATTGACCAGGTTTATAATGTAATTCAACCAGACTGCTGAAGCTCCTTATTTCTCTACTCATATACACGTACATGTGTGGTGTAACAAAATGTCAACTTTTATAATATGGCATGACACAAGACACAGGTTTCCACAATAAAACACTCGGAATATATGCTTTTAGTTTCACAGTTACGTTCAACAAGAGCTGTAAATAGCCACATAGCTCGATGGCAAATCATATTATCATTAAAGGGACATCACGTGAAGAGCCATATTTTTTTAATGAATGTATGTATTGTATGCACTTCCACTTATGTTACCCCGCTATCCCCATATTCATAGTCCGTTCCAAATGTCCAGTTTGACCACTTGAATTGTTCGGGAAAACCCTGTTAAAAATAGCGCCGAAAACGTCACCTGACTAGGCTGTAAACACAAGTGGTGTACATGTGAGCGAGATGAAACGGTTTCCATAGGGGCCCCCAGAGAGGGGCCGTTAGGCAACTGAAACTTCTTACCGCACTATGAAACCAAGTAATATGATTTCTAAGTCCGTATTCAAACTTATTGAACAGTAATTGTTCATCATCAGAAGTTAATTGCACATTTGCCAATATTCAGAATTTAAATGTATTTAGCTTCAAACATATATTCGGTGCCAATAAAATTGAACTAGGGATGGGGGCACAAGTTTTTACAATTTATCACAGCCTTCTCCCGTCATACATTTACAATTAAATGTCAACAATGATAATAGGCATAAACATAAAGTATATATATATAAATATATATTGAATTAAGTACCGGAATGTGACCGGTACAGATGGTACGGGGCTAAACACCTTCCCTCAACCATGGGACAAACCTTTCTGTAAAAAGGAATATTGACGAGACGAATATCCCTTTTCAAATGTTTACATAAAGTGCATATATGCAATGACAAGCTACACGCGTATAAAAAAGAGAAACGTTTGTGAATTTATTTGTTACATTGTACAACTCAATGTCTTTGGCCAATTATTTTTTCTAGACCATGCATATAAATGTATGTATACTCTCTTTCCCACTTTCACTGTCTCCATACGCTAACACTTAGTAAGTTATATTAGCCATCACCCACAATAAACTGTATGGCAAAACCACTACGTGTACATGTACAATATGTGTCAGATATGGAAAGTGTTGAGATACTTGATACTAATATTTTTTCAATACTTTACAGAGATTATAGGATAATTGTAAATGGACCTTTTTTATGTTGAGACACAACCTTTCTTTAATCAGTTCCTTTTGTCCGAAACAGAAACCGTAGTTATCGGCAGCACGCGCCATTTTTACAACGTAATAATATATTTCCCCCCTTGTTTTTCAATACGTATTCCGATTCTACCTGAAGTCGAAAATTAATTCTTTATAGAGAAAAGGTTGTTACATGATCATACATTCTAAGTCAACATCATATGAAAACATGAACTGTTGAAAAATTACGATTTAAAAAAAAATATTATGCGATCCTATTTACTAGAAGTAGGTTCTCCTTCCTCAGTTATTCATCATGGTCCGTCATTTTGACATTTTTAATCTAGCTGCGATAACGTAGCTTTCTGACGAAGAGCGATTTTTTTTATATATTGCGTCGTCGCGCCAGAGGGGGCCGGGTATTCATATTAGTACTAATCTAAATCTTGCATGTCAAAAAAAAAACCCGTTTAATTCAGCAATATAATTATATCATACCAATTAGTAGTAGTATCATTGTGTGAGTTTGAACACAGATGAACTTAGTTTAATATGTTAATGGGCATGTATAGGAGAGAGTTTACTTTGTGTTTCTATAATTATACAGTGGTTTATGCGATAGGAAGGGATAGGTGACTGGTTAGTTTGATTTTGCCATGAGGCCCTCCAAGGCATAACTGTTGTGATGGCCACGGCGTATTTCGTATTTTTGACAAAAAGAGGTATAAGAAGGGAAAAGCTACTTTTAATCAAAACAGTTATGAAATATCTTGTAACACAACGAATCTTAAAAATTTGGTCTGTGCGACGGACATCTCGTCAACTAAACTCATTAATCTGAGGCCAGTTGGTTGTTATTTAGTGTAAATTTAGTAAATTGTTTTGTACAATGTACTGACTTTCCACTGGGTGTTTATGGAAATGACGATCGGAAAGATTCCATTTCCCATGCGATGTGTATTTAGAATACAATCAACCAGTATCTTTTTAAAAGTATTGTTTGCGTCTTACGTTCAACAATCTTACAACACTTAAATTGAAATATCTTAAAGGGTTTTGTTGTCGGCCTAAAAGTGCTGCTGTACAATCGCATGCTGATTGTACGTAGAGACCGACAGTTACGAAAGACTGATTTTTACATGAAAAAGTAAGTACATTTACAACACCTGGCCGGACAGTCTTTGTTGAATACGTTTTCAAGCCCAAGAAAATCGTTTTAATTTGTCAGATGTTTCCCGTTGACGTGCAAGACTATCAGACACGTACATGTGACAAATTATCCAAAAAGACGGGGGGGGCGATCGTTGAAAGCCCTGGACCCTCTCATCCTGACCCGATGAAAAATATAATATNGAGAGTCTTTATTGCGTATCATGTAAATTGACATCATTTCAGCCGATACCCGTCATCTTTCTCAAAAAGCATTAATCAATTTACATCTAAACACTTAGATTACATGTAAATTTAATTAGTTAAATATTTGAAGGTGGTGAAACTGCCTGCACTTTTGAGCAAAACCACGGAAGGCCTGATGACGTCACAAATGTTGCTGCGTGACGTCATGCAGGCGTGTTTACAACAATGTTTATTTATAGGCATTTTATTCGAATCTTCTTCTGTATTGGTGCTCGTCGGCATTTAGATACATGCCTATTTGGTCGAATTATTAACAGAAACCCTATCTAATGTGACGAATTTGCCTTCACTGACGTTACACCACATGTGGAGTCAGGACACCGCACAGTTGTTTATGCTACCTTTGACAAAGGTAGATACCATATCAAAACAGTTTGTATGTCATAATTAACTTGGGAAATATATAATATTTATTTCTGTCCATAATGTACAAGAAGTGGAGAAGTTAGTCATACATTTTACCCAGAATGTATTGTGTTTGGCACTAAGAATTACTATCGACGAAAAAAGAATGTAATCTATTTAATTGATTAAAATTCAGGATTTTTTCTTTACGTTTTACGCCAAATTGTAACAGGTTCATCCATATAGATAACAACAGGTGTCTGTAAAATAACTACAGCAAGGCAATTTCAGGGACCACAGCATACTATAGTGCATGTTTGTGTTCAAGAATCCTGTGATAAAAATACAATTCAGTCACCTGGTAAAAAAATGGAAATTCACATTTAAAAAATGATTAGCGCCTTAAACGCTTCTTGATTTCGTGATTTCGTGATTTTATGCAAATGTTTGATCGAACAGGTAAGGTGAGCTTGGGGGGTCGTACGTTTCATCCAAGACGACGATAGTCATCGGTTACTAGCTTCATTTGAAGAAACTCTAGTCGCATGTCAATTATAAACACTATTATCACAAGTACTTTTCCCATTATTAACGAGATAAAACAAAATCCATTTATATAGACTAACTGTCAAAATATGAGGAGAATAGCTGTCGTTGTAAGGAATGTCAATTCCTTCGAGGAAAATTATCAGACAAAAGATACAGTAATCCTATGTTTGTCCCCAAAACAATTGACATCATTTTTCATTATCATGTAATCTATACTGTAATACTGTGTAAATTAAGTAGGTAGGCTTAAGTGTCTGTCAGTCATAACAGCCATACTAATAATATAATGTTCGGCTCCTTTAGGTACCTTGCACCATTTAAATGACGGGACGTGGAGAGGAACAGACACTCAAGGAAATTTATTATTTGTTGAAGGATCGTGTTTTGTCTCTAACCAGAGATAAAGAACGTGTAGTAAATGAAAACGACCGCATTAAAGATACACTAAAGAAAACGGCCAGAAAATTGAGGTCGACGAGTAGTGATTCTAGTGACATTCCCAGACCAAGAAGTGCTGATAGTATACAAATGTCAGAAGAAGATGCAAAAGTGAAGCGTGTCATTAAAATTATGGAAAGTCGCCATTTGTCAATAAGTAGGGAGCAGGCAAAAACAGAGACTGTGCTTACTAAGGTATTGTTATTGCATTTGAATGTAGCTTTGTAGTAAAATGAACGCAGTTGTCAAAATGTCAGAGGATAAAAACGTTCGAAATTAAAGGAACAAAATGTTTTACAGTAATATTTTTCGCATCAGTATTATTTTCAAAACGAATCTTATAGCATACTGCTGAACGAGTTATATTTAACGACAAATTGACAAATTACAATCAAACTCTCTGACGTTGTTTATTTCGTCACAGTACAAAATTATACTGACTGGAAACACCAAAATAATTTATTTTTTTCAATTAAAACCAGCCCCATTCTAGTATTCCACGAAAACAAATAATAAGGGATAGTAATAACAAGTGAGGCTAATAATAGAAGCTGTCAAAGTAAAAATATTTTAATATCATAATAAAACAAGATGCCCAGAGGGCCTGTATCGCTCACCTGGATATCTCAGCAATCATGGCAAAATATTCTCCAAATGAGATCCAAGGGAATAGGCCAGACCCCAAGGCCAATCCTTGTAGCATATCTGTATTAGATTTTTCATGACCGGCAATTTTATGTATGGTTTTGGGATGGGGTTCTCAACTGTTTCCAACCTGTGACTCAGAAACCTGGTCCCTAGGGTTGTGCCCAGACCCCAGGATCAATTCTAATTTCATGACTGCATTCGTCTCTTTATGCCAAGCATTTGTATATATAGTTTTGGGGGTGCGATCTCAACCGCTTCAAAGTTGTGACCCAGGGGTTAAGTCTGCAAGGATAGGGCAGACCCTGGGGTCAATTCTAATATCATGACTGCATTCGTCTCTTTATGCCCAACACTTGTATATATAGTTTTCGGGTGGGGATCTTAACCGTTTCGAAGTTTCGACCCAGGAATTGATTCTCCAAGGGTGGGGCAGATCCCGAGGCCATCCTGGACGCGTATGTGCATCCATCTCTTTATACTCAGCAATTGTATATATGGTTATAGGGTGGGGATCTTATCTGTTTCCAAGCTGTGACTCCGAAACTAGGTCCCTAGGTTTTCGGTCAGACTCCAGGGTTTATTCTAATATCATGACTGCACTCGTCTCTTTATGCCCAGCATTTGTATATATAGTTTTGGAGTGGGGATCTCAACCGTTTCAAAGTTATGACCCAGGGACTATTTCTCCAAGGGTGGGGCCAGACCATTTGTACAATTTTGAATCCCCGCCTCCCATGAATGCTTCCCACCAAATAGTATTGATATCCATGGCATAGTTCTACAGGAGAAGTCGTTTATAGCAATATAGCCAAACTGCCCTCTTTTGGCCACGCCCCTCAGCCTCCTGGGGGGTCAGCCCCGCCATTTGTACAATTTTGAATCCCAACCAACTATGGATGCTTCAAGTCAAATTTAGTTAAATTCCAATCGGTGGTTAAATTCCAATCTTCGGACCAGGTGAGATAAAAACCGTTCCCTGAAGCATATTAATGTAAATAACGTAGTCGATGCCATGTTCGAAATTATACATAGCGCTCGGTCACTGTTAACTTTTTAAATCGACTTAAATGAAAATATTTTCAGGTGAATGATAAACTTCAACAACTAGAGAAAAGTTTGGTTGGTATACTTGACTCCGATAAATCACGTGACAACACTGTACTGGAGCTCCTCCTGGAGGTGAGATCGTCTGTAAATGAATGTCGACAGTCACAAACTCATACGGATGGACAGGTTGAGAAAATCAGCGTTGGGATTCAGGTAAGAGGTAAAGAGCAAAGGTGCAGTGAATTATAAATAACAATAACAAATGAAATTTTGTTCATATGTTTAAGAAAGATGTTTCTTTACAGCCATTTAAAAATCTTATACACAACACCATATACAGTTCTTTTTCCCTTCAGTATGGAAATTTAATTTGAATGGCAAGATTAACACTTGGCGAAAATTGAAATCATTGACGAATATTCAGAAACTTGTTATAAAATAAGTTATATTTGGATTGTGACAGCAACTGCTGGAAAACCAACAGAATGTAGCCGCTGGGAATCTTCGAGAGGTGCCGATTCCAGTAGAACTGAATTATTTCTGCTCCAAAATGCAAGCCCAGGGTAAAGCGTTATTGTTTCCTATAATACCAGTATATATGGTTAAAATATATGTATTTTACTCAATCATTGCGTAAATTATACAGACAGTCTTCGTTTTATTGCCCCATGTGTCCAGTGCCCTTTACATTGTAAAGTTAGACGTAATATCGATATAGCAAAAGTGTCAAGAAAACTGAAAATTATGCTGATATAGTGATGTTTTTATACAAATATAAAGAGGGTCATCATATCGTGGTTTGTACTGTATATTACGTATACGTTTACGGAAAAATATAGTTGCATAGCCAATAGCATTTCCCTCTACGATTTTTTTCTCTCTTAATGTTCTAATTGTATCGCAATAAACTATGATGTATAACAATAACCTTGATGGAGATTATTATATTCGGCCAAGTCTGTAACTCAAATTTATCTTCATATTTAACTCCATATGCTAAGTAATTAAATAACAACAATATCAAGTTGTTTTTCCTCACGGCTCATGGACAATTTAGTTAATTTTGAGTATGCTTAAAAATCTAAGGATCAGGAATAACTTTAACGATGTCATCAGGTTTACATTAAAACATTGATAGGTACAGACTTCCACAAGTTGGGCAGAGCATTGAACATCGAGGAGAGCGTACTGGGGACAATTAACCAGAGCTATGGTGACGATGAGGAAGACGAGAAATTTCAACAGGTGATCCGAGAATGGGCGAAGAAATCCAAAAATGTGCACATCCGAGATTTTGTGGGGGCTTGTCATATGTCAGGTGGAAACACGGTAAAAGGTCATGAACTTTTATTATTGACTTTGCATTATGTATGTCTAACAGTCTTAAGATTTGAAATTATTTATTACGCATCATCATCGATTGTCCGGTGTTATTTTGTACCTTAATGAAATGAACAAGCAGCTCACATTTTAAGATTTTTCAATATCGTAATTTCCATCACATGCCCTTATATTGCAAACATCCTTCAATCAAACATATGCCCTTTTATACGGCATACATTTTAGTATTGTAATATTTACAAACGTTTTTTAAGGTCTGTAGTGTTAACTCTCTTAGCCATGTCTAATTGAAAGCCACGAAGCCAAGAAAATATAATCTAGAGTATTGCTTGAATTCAGACAAACCTTTAGCACCAAAAGAAAAAGAGAAACTTCTTCAAAATGTGTCATATCTGTGCGACAACATGCTTGATGTTCCATTGGTGCTCCCTCATCTGGTGACGAAGTCTGTGATATCTCCTCGACTGTCCGAGTACGTCCTGGCACCGTCTGGAAGAATAGAGAGGATTTTACGACTTGTAGATGTCCTTTGTACAAAAGAATCTGGATTTGAGGAGTTTTGTGCTGCCCTTAAAAGTTCTGATCAAGCTCATGTCGCCGAGAACATGATTGGAGGAGGTATGTTTGCTAGGTGTTATGGGTGTACGAGGAGTGGAAGCTGTGTAGCTGTGTATATTAGGGGTCGAGAGGTTGGGGTTGTGTGTGATAGGATGTGTTGCGGTGTAAGGGGGGGGGGGGGCGATAAAGGGGGAGAGATGTTTGCATAGCGCGAATAGGGGATTTGATATATTTATCATGTTTACATAAAAAAAAAAGTAAACAACAGAAAATTTTAAAAAGATAAAAACAATTTTCTAACTTGAATAGTATTTAAGGGATCTATCTATATACGCTCAATACATTTCTTGTTAAACCATTGAATATGGTTTTCATCTCTACAAGTGTTAAAATCAAGACTCTCTTTTTATTCAGGTCAAGTTAGGCCTGAATGTGGTAAACGCTCAGCCTCTTTTTCCGTTACAATCAAAGAGCGAGAAGAGGACGCACAAAGCACCATGCCAGAAGACGCGATGGTGGCTGATCATGACATTCTTCGTAGCATAGCCCTGTTGCTTCATAATCGAGGCATTATGTAACTACTGACGATGGCACGAACCGGGACATCATCTTTGTGTATTCATTTGAACACACACTAACCTGAAACACATGCAAGATGTACAAAAGACTTAAGACTATTATGATGAAAGAAACTTCATTTGTGAAGACATTATTAATCTTTGCTACACAATTATAAAAGTATATCAAATCCTAAGATTAGGGGTTCGAAATTTCGATCAAAAGTATTCTTTCATATGAGATGTGCTCAAGGAATCAGTAAAGGGGTAATAATTCTGTAAATAAGGTAACAAAAAGCTATTTTGCTATTTAGCTGACAAAACTTTATACCGGTAAATTTCCATAATAAGTGATGGTATTACAAAAGTGAGATTGTTTAAAGATTAATGAGCTTAACAACAAGATACGTAAGTGAAAAGGTATGGGGTCACCTGCCTGACCACGTGGACTTTCACCGGGTACTCCGGTTTCCTCCCACACAAGACCCCCGCGCGCTAACATCCGGGCCAACAAGAGTGATTGATATAAGTTTAATAAATTGTTTCATAATTGTTGTAAAATAAATAAAGTTCATATTTATAGATATTTTTATTTATTTGCTATTGAAATTGACCTCAGCAGGTGGGGAATTGAGAAAAGAAAACACCTGCTGTTACCCGTTGCACGAAAGTAAGAGGCGACTAATGTGGGAAACCCCTGCAGAGTTGGGGATTTGAACTCATGCCCTCTACTTGGGGACATAATAGTATGATGTGAGAGGGTGGAATATTGTGCTGGGTATGGCATTCGGCGTTGTATTTCATTTAGGTAGCACTATATATGATGTGACCGGGCGGAATACTGTACTGGGTGCTTCTGTATGGTATATCAGTGAGATAACACTATTAATTCGTCATCTGATCACAAGGAGGCATTTATACCAACAGACTCTGTCTCGAGTACACACAAACACACACACACGCACATACACACACACTCACACACACACAGACACACACACACACACACACACACACACAATGTAGCATGGCAGAACGCCGTTAAATGACATTGGATGTTGATAAGACGTTAAAATCCTTTAAAACTAAATAAACAAACAAAAACAAAACAAAAATATACTGAGACTGATAACCAAACGTACATGTATCGGAAATCCATATACTTATCTAACGACAAAAATATGTGGCTTTGTGCCAGTTTGAAAGCTGTATAAAGGTTATTTCTAAGCGCGAACAAACAGTCGGTTATATTTTACTTTCCAGATCCGCCATATACTAACAGTTACTGGCAAGGTAATCACGTACAAGTCTTCCATAAAAGGTAAGCATTAATCAGCCATGTTTACTAGCCTTTGGTTTATAGAAAATATTACTAGTAATTTGAATGCCACAAAAATGAGAATATAGCATATTTTGATATTAAAATGTATTACACTGAATTGTATTGATTATAAATGATACATGTATATTTACATATTAAATGTGTTTTTGTGTGTCTTTCTGTGCTGTGTTGCGACACGTTCGATACGTACATTGTTTGTGCATAAAGTAAAACTTTGATATACATGTAACATATTTCCAAAATGATGAATCTTATTGAAATCATAGGGTTAAGGTCTACCATATATCTATGTACAGAAAAAGACGTGTAATGTAGATGGTATCAGATTGAAATTCATCACGATTCACAGGTATATTTGTTATATGTGTAGAAGAACATTTCATAAATGGGTACAACATTCTATCGATAGTGTCACATGTCATGTACAAGGAGAAAAAAAGAAACGCAAGTTTACTTTCAGTGATGATTCAAATGTTTCATCGATGAAGTGGTGGGGTGTTTTTTTGTGGATTTTTTTTTGCAAATATCATGAGCGATTACATATAAGTTAATTTCATTTTCTGTCCCGGAAGGCGTTTGATTGCATAACGTTGAAATATGGCTACTATTAGCTATTTCCTAATAAATGCATAGCGTGTATGCTCATCACCCCAGATTTATGTATACTGGTTATTGATCTTAACGTTGACGTTTACTGGGTGTAAGCTGTGGACGTCTGTTTTAATACAGTGAATTATATATAGCTTTATGGTGCGGATGAGTGTTTGTTTGTACTGTTTGAAAATATATTATACAGAACCCATTTTATTTTCCATTGATCAGTTCACACAGCTTCTGAACTCCTTCGATACTTAGGAACAGGTGAATAAAGATATCAGAGGCGTATTCCTTTATCCAACAATGGTCAACCATCTCACTGTGGCTCTACGATGCCCAAATAAACCAGCTTTGATTGACTATGGCACACAAATTGATGTTGCGAATTCCAATGCAAATTCAGAGCAATGGCAATAATCAATTTTAATTGTTCTTAATATGCCGCTGTTCATAAGTCGAAATATTAAAAAAAAAAAAAACTCCTTCATCCCCGTTTTTCGACAATGGACAAAACTTTCCTTTTATTTGGGGTAGTCCAAGTACACCATCAGGTGTCAGTAGGTAAAATTATACGGAATTCAAGTACATGGTGCGTGTTTGGAGGGTATATCTAAATTAAATTCGCGAGATCAATAGTAATAAACAATGTTAGACTCTGATAGACATTGTACCCATATATATGGAAAGAGGGATATTTGACTGTTTTTGGTTTTCACCTGAAAGCGCTAAAGTGAACATAAATGTATTTTTATGCCATTCGCGAATAAAAACAAAATCAAAACAAACACAAAAAATAAATAAAGCATTATGATATATATTGCTGTCTGCGGTGTGTCTTCTGCTTTGTTTGGTATCTTTAAGATTTAGATGTACTTGTCCATTTACGAAAGCAAAGAGCACGCTAACTTTGGAAGACATATATTGAAATTATACAGGACTAAATAACTTTGTCTGTAATCAGGCATTAAGACTGCTACCGTTAAAACATATTTAAAAGACACATTACATTAACCAATCAGAATGCTACGAAATATCACCATATATACTGATTTTTATACCGACTTCATGTGGGGCTTAATTTCTTAGTAACTACATTTTAAAGCCATTCAGTCTTGTTTCAAAAGAGATTGGCGTGTCATTATGAGGTTTGAGTAATTCTTATGAAGGCATCCGCCTTTATATAAAAATGCAGACTCAATTAAGTTTGTTAAACCCCGGTTGACTATAAAATGGTCTGGGGTGGATGTTGCGGTATCTGTGCTGTAGCATTCAAGTGAGGTGGCACTATGATTGATACCGTTAGAAGCACGGTCCCACTACAAACAGAACACAAAACATCTCCAGCACACATGCAAACATAGGGAGATATTAGCCAGGTGGCATAGGACTAGTAGTTAGCGCATGAAAAGGCAGTTCCTGCGATTTCCTTAAAAAAATGTATTGATTAATGTATATGCTAATTGTATATCTATGTACTGTAAAGCGCTTTAGAGAAGCTTGTGTTAGTTAGTTAGATAGGGCGTTATATCAAATGTTGTACATTTATTTTTATTTATTTATGTATGTATCATTGTGATAGCTGTGTATATTAAGTTTATTAATATCAACAGAGATAGATGTTTAATATATTTTTGAAAAATAAAACTCATCATGGGGTTAACATTTAAGCATACTATTCCATCTTTTATGCATCTTGTTGAACCTAAAACAAGGTATGTTTGTAAACTATACACTATGTATAACTTAAAGCTACTCTTGTTGACAGGTACGCTAAACCGACATACAAATGACTGCACGTGGAGAGGAACAGACACTTAAGGAAATTTATAATTTATTGAAAGATCGTGTTTTGTCTTATACTAGAGATAATGACCAAGTGATGAATGAGAATGACCGTAGGAAAGATTCACTTCATAAAAGGTTCACACAATTGAGTTCGACGAGTAATGCTACTACAAGACCTCCTAGACCGTTTAGTGCTGGTAATAAACCTGGGTCTGAAGAGGTTTCCAAACTCCAAGATGTTATTCAAATTCTGGAAGCTCGCCATTTGTCTATTAGTAGGAGGCTGGCTAAAACGGAGAATGACCTTTCCAAGGTACTGTATATACGTCATTTATCAACTGAAGGTCTGTGAGGGAAATGAACTGTGACAGTTCTCGTATAAGTGTTTCAGGCACTTTAGCTGTTTAGGATATTTCTGCTAGATTATTATCATATTGTATATGGTTAACAAATGGTTAACAGATCAGAGATCACCACTTCATAGATGCTTTTGTTTGTTTGCTTGTTTGTTCGTTTGTTTGTTTTGGGTTTAACGACTTCGAAACAACCCAGGAATACGAGGACGGATGTCTAGGTAGACATTCACGAAAACAAAACGAGTACAAGTGAGAAAAGAAAAGATATAGATCCAAAGTATTGTATTGAGGGCAGCAGATTAATTTTTGTTCCCTAAGCGACGTCACTAATGTGTAATCATTTTGCATGTTTTGACAGGTTATGATTCATATTTCCATTGAATTCAATTCAACTAGCAGGGAAACTATTTTCAGGTGAATGGTAAACTTCAAGAACTACAAAAATATTTGGTTAATTCCGATAAATCACGTGACAATACTTTACTGAAGCTCGTCCTGGAGGTGAGAAAGTCTGTAAATGAATGTCGACAGGTACAAACTCATACGGATGGACAGGTTGAGAAAATCAGTATTGGGATACAGGTAAGATATACATTTTATAAAGAGCACGCACAGATATTTGATATCTACTTTAAAGCAATGCTAAGTGTTTATTTTCAATTCGTCAATCCATAAGAAGAAACGATCGTTTCAGTGATACATACCAAACAGATACAGTGAAGCAAAGACAATGTCATAAACAATTATCGCATTATTTTATTCATTTGTAATTTATTAATTTACGTTTTTAAAGAGTGCTNTTGGTATCATGTTGATCTTCGTAAAATAGATATTTCACTACTTTAAAGATAGAAACAGTCATAGTTATTATAAAAAGACTATAAACGCTATATATATAATGAAGTTTCATAAAAAATTACTGAATAATATAGATAAGGGAAATACTAGAATCATAGAAAAAACATTGTTTATAAAGAGGCCCACAGTTGACCTATCCAGTGCACCCAAGATTCAGAAAGATACCCCTGTGTAAGGAATATTTAAAACATGTTCTTTTATTTCTGCTGATGTTGTGTTCTTGTGTATTAAATTGGATAACGTAGCAACTACTGCAAAACCAACAGAATGTATCCCGTGGCAAACATTCAGAGGTGCAAATTCCGGCAGAACTGAATTTTTACTGCACTAAAATGCAAGCACAAGGTAAAAAGTTATCTGTATATTTATTGATTTATGTACTATTATTGACTGATTTATTTGAGATAAATACCAATGCTTTAAATGTAAATGTATGTTACTGAACCATTGGTTAAATCATAGAGTAAAATCTCGTTATGTTGCCACCATTTGTCCAGTGAATTTGCCTTTATAAAGTATGACGATGCATCGATTGTGGCATATGAGAAAGTGTTGAAAGACAAATGGTTTAGTTAGACTACTTTGAGGTTTAATGCTTCACAGCAGATTGGACTCATTAGGAACATTTTCGACCACATTTGATTAAGAATAAGTTAAATTAAACTACAAGTCTACAATTAAAAACAAAATCTTTTTATTTCTTTTTAAATGAAAAGAAATGGTAATTTGATACAGTTTGTCACAAATCGAAATTTGCTTCATGATGTTTATACGAAAATTGATAGGAAAGGGCTTCCATATGTTGGGTAGAGCATTGCACATCGAGGAGAGTGTTCTTCATACAATTACCCAACGTTATGGTGACGATGAGGAAGACGAGAAATTTCATCAGGTGATCCGAGAATGGGCGAAGAAACCCGAAGCTGTGCACATCCGTGACTTTTTGGGAGCTTGTCATGTAGCAAGTGGAAACACGGGAAAAGGTATCGGACTTTTATTATTGACTTTGCATCATATATGTCACCCAAACTACTGGCTTTTATTTTATTGGTTTTGCATTTCTGTTTTTCCTCTAGTCTCAATTTAGTTAATTTAACAAAATTTCTTGCTAAAATTTCATTGCACGAGTGATGTTGAATTATGATTTGTCAAAACATATCTTGTATACTCCCATTCAAAATGGGCGGATTGGTCGGGTATTTATTACTCCGGCCTTCTACGCATGCGGCCGGGGTTCGATCCCCGAAGTCGTCGCACGCATGGAATATTCAAAGAAAGTTCCACACAACTCCAACAACCCAGGTGGAGTATAAAATAGTCTGAGATGGATGTTGCGGTATCTGTGCTGTAGCATTCAAGAGAGGTGGCACTATATATTATATTGTTGGAAAACGGTCCCACTTCAAACAGAACACAATACCACTCTAACACACATAAAGACATACACACATAGGGAAATATTAGCCAGGTTGAATATAGCTAATAGTAAGCCCCTGATAAAGCAGTTCCTGCGAATTCCTCAAACTTGTATTGATTAATGTAAATGCTAATTGCATTGAGTGTATAAATGGTATACCATTGTACTGTAAAGCGCTTTAGAGTAGCTTATTCTAACTAGATAGGGCGCTTTATCAAATGTTACATGTTATTATTATTACAAATAATTCATTGGTGGATGAAATTTAACATTTTATGGTTAATTAAGAAGAAACATTTTTGATCACAACTTCTATGGCAATATATAATTCATTTGACTGTTCTCGTTGATGAACGTTTGGTTGATTTAAGCCTTGTTAAATAACGATGATGTATTGTTATATTCCGTGGAATATAACTGCATACCTCATTAGGCACTCTCAGATTCGGTCCAGGCGTCATGCAATTGCTATGATTTTGGGAACCCCCCTGTCTCAACCCAAGTGTGAGACAAGGATATCTCTCACCGGGAAGAGTGTGGAGACACCTGTCCAGGGACAGAGAAAACTTGGTGAACTATGATGTAATGAAGCATCAACGTGTAACACAACAAGCAAAACAACAATGCTAGATGTGACATATGGCAAAGACAGTTACCCATGTCTGGTTTGGGGGGTTCACACTCTCGTTCCCAAATCTATGTCATCCATGATGGACCTGACCGCCATAGATGGATGACCCTATAGCACTATCTAAAATTCAACAACACCTATGTCAGTCACTGTGCGGCGTTACCTAAATCGCAAGATTTGACCCCAAATGTATTTTTGTGTTAAGTGCTGCTCCCTATCGATACTAGCTATCTTACATGTTATAAGTTGATGGTTACAATCTTTATCATTAATTATATAATTTACTGTCCATTTTGTTACAAATGACAATTTGTCATATATAATTCTGATTCAGAATTTCTGTATTTGGTTGCATCTCTGATTGTGTGGATGCTAATTAACCTACCCACATATTCCAAGGGATAATACTGGTGCACTTCATTTATTCCGTCCATGCCATCAAAGACGCAACTGTACCATATGTCCAACCTATCACATCAGTTATGAAGGTAGTGATATAGTTAGCTTATCGTAAAGTTTAACGCAATTGTTGTAATCACTTCTAGATTAATTCATAGTATTGCTGCTACAGTATTGCTTATATTCAGGCAAACCTTTAGCACCAAAAGAAAAGGAGAAACTTCTTCAAAATGTAGCATATCTGTGCGACAACATGCTTGATGTTTCATTGGTGCTCCCTCATCTGGTGACGAAATCTGTGATATCTCCTCGACTGTCCGAGTATGTCCTGGCACCGTCTGGAAGAATAGAGAGGATTTTACGACTTGTAGATGTCCTTTGTACAAAAGAATCAGGATTCGAGGAATTTTGTGCTGCCCTTAAAATTTCTGACCAAGCTCACGTCGCCGAGAACATGGTTGAAGGAGGTATGTTTGCGTGGTTGTATATGTGCGAGACGTTTGCATAGCGGGGAAAATATTTGTGTTTATACCCGAGATATTAGTTATCTGCTTATGATGTCAATGACGTTTGCTATATAACTTTGCATTACTCATTTTATCAATTGTTAGACACAAAGAAACAGAAATAAATATACTTTATTCTAATTATGAAATATCTATAGAGTCAACAACGTTTACTTCATTATCAATATGAAATTAAGATTTGTTTTAATTTAACTTCAGTTGTGCCTGGGTGTGGTAAACGCTCAGCTTCATTTTCCGGTGTAGGCGAGGAGCGAGAAGAGGACGCACAAAGTACCATGTCAGAAGACGTAATGGCGCCAGATTATCACATTCTCCAGAAAATAGCATTGTCGCTTAAGAAACCAGGCATTGTGTAACTGCTAACTATAGCGCGAGTTTGGACATCATCTTTGTGTATTTTAGTGGTAAAAATGCTATGCGTTTAAAAAGACTTCCTCTCTTACTTCTTCATTTTCTCAACAAAAGCAACATATCCATTGCAAGGAAATATGAAAGTGTTCCTCGGCGTATACAGAAAAGTATATAATCAAAACTAAAGATGAGTGCATAATGACAACAAGTGGACTGACGAGGCACTCAAAATGAAATGAAAAACAACAAAAAACCCACAATTTTTTGTATCTGTACATTTATACACATTCACTTTATGAACGAAACGTTATAGAGCTTTAAATAACTTTTAATACAAATGACGTCATGTGAAATTATGGTTAAAGCGTTTTTACGAAACACCACGAATAGCTCTAAATAAATTGTTCAAGTGGCAATGATTGCTGGAGTGATTACTTGTTCTGTCAATATCGTTTCATTGATATTTAAGAATATTACGTACAGCAATTGGTCAATGCCAATATATATGACAAAACATATTGTTTTGATTACCTCTGGTAAAACTTCGATTGGCTGAGTCAAATTGATCATTTCACACTGTCATGTTCGCTTTAACATTGAGTCAATGGAAGGGTGCTTCCCAACGCCCTAGCAACGAATGACAGTGTGTGTGACAGTGTAAATAGTGACCACTCAAAGAAGATGCGCTTACGGTTCGTTTCAGCCGCCATGTTTTTTTTTGTGTAATAAAAAAGTACTATATTCGTAGAAATATGACAGTGCCTAGGGTCACCCCGAGGGTATCATTGTCACCCGAGGCTAATGAAGTATTTATATAAAATCCTATTTATATAAATGCACATACAATTCAGCCAACGGGTAACTAGTGCTGACGGTTGAATCATGATGACCTTGTTAGTGTACCCTACTTCGCATCACTATGGAGAATAATCATTTATAAAAATCCTGTATTTTCTTTACTTGGACTGTCGATAAAATCCCCGATCCTGATTGCCAGTTGCAATAATGGTCAAGGAATCAAAATCATCAACAATGTCGACAAACAGACGAATGAACGGACGAGTCATGTTGTAAGCTCACTTGGCCTTTCAGTAAATTTCAACTTATTATATACATGTGGATGTGTAGTGTGAAAACTCAATGTATAGACTGTACAGATGAAATACACTATATATTGTTCCGCGGTGTCAACAGACGAGTGCAAAATCGGAACCGAAATCGGATGCATGAAAAGGCATGTGTCACCGAAACAAATAGAAACACACTTTCAACCCCACAATAAGAAACGATTCCCTGTACTTCTTACATATGCATTACAATATTCACTTTATGAAAAAAGTAGAAGTCATATCTCTATTAATCAAAACGGTGTCATGATGAAATTTAACATAATTTTTGAACTTGCCTATTCTATCAGCATCGTTTCAAACACACACACACACACTACCTCGCGCGCGCGCGCGCGCACACACACACACACACACACACACAAACACACCAAACACAGTAATATTTGGAGAACATAAGTAAATAATGAATGAAGGATTTAAATAATGCAAATAATCTGTCTTGAAAAGTCTTTTTCACTTGAAATTTGTCGGTCATATTGTTTAAAATCGTGTATTATATTGTCAATATACGCCCGGATGCAATAGAATGTCAGAATCTAGAAATATATTTGGAGTTGCGTCCCCTTTTGCGCTAAGATACCATTATTGCCGCTATGGTAACAATGTCTAAAATGTTCTAATGCCTAATATGTTTCTCATGATTAATTACTGACAGTTAGCAAAATCTTTTTCTTTATAGTTATAACATCAATACAATATCTCCATATATTTATACCACCAAGGGAGAGGACTTATATAGGCTGTAAGCCAGTTGTCCAATCATTTAGACGGTGTTACATTATTTTTTTCAAATACACTGTATTGAAGTTGAAAATTAAATTGCCTCTAGAGATCAGTAAAAACATAGCATATACCTTGCCTGATGCCTTATGCTTTTGAGTTGAAGATATCTAGGCCATGTCACACATATGTGTGCACCTGATGATTCTGATTGCACGAGTGCATCGCTTGTATGATATATTTTAATTAGTGCTATATATTCATAAACGGCGCAATAAACGTGTGAAATCTGAGATATACGTGTTGTATTACTTTAATCGCATAGCTACAATTTTCTTATATGCATAATACATTTTCGGTGAGGAATTTAACTCATCATTGCCCACTGTAAGTGCTTAATTTACTTTCCGAAGACTGGAGCCGGAACAACAAAGGCAGAGAAAATAAAGACTAGCGTGAAATCAACGTAAACTATTCGGAACCCATTCCTGGTTCGATTCGTTGATTTGATAAGTGGGTAACAACTAGTTAAAAAACACTTCCTGCTACATTTGTACTAGAGTAATTCAACTTGCACCATGTAACATACACTTGGTAAAAGTCAAGACAGGGATCTGCAGTGTGAACCACACTATTATAGCATTGTTTACTGTCGATATACCAAGCACATTGTGTCACTGTGTGGAGGTGGGGGAAAAGTGTGGGACATGCGTGGGAGATCATAAACTGTATGTATTTAGATTATGCTGTAAATTTCTAGTGTTTAATTATATCTACGTCTACATAGAAACGAATCCGGAAGTTTAACAAGGTTATATTCTAATTTTTGTAACCAGGAAGACAACTGTTTCTGCTTGTATTTCTAACAGAAATAGTTGTAACAGTGATGGCTGGTTTTATAGAGAAAGTTCGAGTGTCTTTTATAATTGAAAAGATAAGTGACGGGAGTAAGATAAATATGATTGTGAACTATCACGAGTCGCGAGACCATTTTCTCGTAAGATAATAACTACAGAAAACCACGTGTTTCTCTTGGAAATACATTATTTGTGTTTTCGATCTGGGAAAACTTAGCCCTTAACTTTTTTAATCTCAATCAAAGGTGAAGTCGTAATTCATTGTTTCCTGACGTCATTAGTGCAATATTGACAACAGATATTACGTCCAGTCCAGTGTGCTACCCACTACATGTACAAGTGGTGACCCAAACATATTGCCAAATCCCTTGCATGTTTATCCAGCGAGTTAAAAGTGAGGAATCTTAAAGTATTTGTAGGGGGGTTACTATACAGTTTATACTTTGTTCCTTACGATTTCCACATATACTACCCCATGGTGCTTAATAGGAAGAAGGGGCATGCTGTATCACATTGCTTAAGTAATGCCCCTGCAGAATCGAGTGTTTATTACCATAATTGATCTGCTTGCCCTTTTGTAACACTTTGGATCTGTAATTTCTTTTCTATATTTTCAATTGTTTCCCTCTGCCGATGAGTTATACGATGTTTGAAGTTTTAATAAAGTAATCATTTTTAGATAGGTAGGTAGTCAGGTTATCAGGAACCGTCTAGTGTTTTTGATATCTGCAAGGATATGCCTGCATATTGAGGTTTTTTCTTCATCACTACACAGAATACAGCTATGCAATAATACTGATAAATTAAAGTGATCATGGAGTCTATAATTCTGAATGTTTTATTTTACTAAATCCCTTTCTATAACAAAAAATCAAGGGCAGTGGGAAAAATAGTGTTGTGCAGTTTGCTGAGCATAGCAACAGTGACGGGTAGAATGGTCTTTTAAGTTATCTTTAAATAGATCAAAATTTAGGGTATATAGTAATTTCTGTACATATCACTTTTCAATTAGAGGTCATTTCGTTTTCACTATTACTAGATACTGAAATACGTTCCTGGAATTTTGCAATGCATGTGGATGTATTAGTATCTAGTTCTATTGCATTAAATTCGCCAAAAAGTAGAACGAAAGTAACAATTAGTATAAATATTAGATCTACATAAAGGAATGTTCAAAAAACGTTTCCTGCGTAAAGCATACATGTCTGGTTCTAAATGATTAATACAAGGATTAGGTACAACAGTTAAGTAAGTAGGGACGTTTATTATGTAATATCTTATACATTGACACTAACTTGTTGTTTTTTCCTTCTTTCTTCATGTGTTTCCAATATAATTCCATGTGAAGTTCAATAAATATATTAATTAATGAATAAATATATAAATTAATAAATAAATAATAAATTAATAAATAAATAAACCATGGACATGTAATAAATCATCAACATATACTAGAATGATCGGATCTGTAGTGTATTCATAACAAAATAGGTCAATTGTACCGAGATAGTTTTCTCGTAACAATTTCAGCTCGATTGCATCACACCGGCTTTATCTACTTTTATTCCAGACAAAACACACAACTCGTGATGATACGTAACCTGAGTGAGTCTTTGAAGCTGGTGTAGGCTATTTCGCTGTCCTACCCGGAAGAGGTTAATAAGGGATCTCCGTCCCATGTCAAAAACTGTAACGACGCACCAGAAACCGATTTCTCCGTCATTACTATATATTTGATAAATCATTCCTGAATAGAAAATCGTACCTTTATGGGAAAAAACTAATTACTGGAATATTATAACCCTGGACATCAGATTGCTATACTATCGCTCTAACTGACTGAGCTGCTTGGTGGATGGAGATTCGTAGCCGACCTCTGCTTCAGTTAAATCCAAAAACGAAATGAAGGCAGGGTTATAAACACAGTGTTATGGGACAGTGATCCTTTAGTCCATCGTTAATCCGATGGGAATCTCTCTAAATATATAATCCTAACAGTGGCCATATTAAAATTGAAACAAGGAAATAACCATGCATTCATCGATTTTAAAAATCATAAAGGCGTCGAATGGTTTAGGAAAAGGCTGACGTCAACAAGGACAAAAAGTTCTGTATATCATAAACCAGGAAGCTTAAGGGGAAAATAGTATATGTGACTATATCGTCAACCTAACTTTAAATCAGGAAGTGCAATACATTAAGCTGTGTACTGTACTAAGTATAATGATGGACTTATCATTATTACAAAAGTCAAAAGTTCTTCAAGAAACTTCCGATACCCCTTCCTCCTTCCTAAAGTTTCTTTTCTGGCAATAAAGTCAACGGAACAATGTAGTCTTTGGAGCCATTGACACCACAATCCCTTTTGACAACAACGGGATTATTGAAAACTGCCTGGCTTTATTCAAAGACTGGTGTCTCACGTCTCACGTTAAGAAGTAAACATGGTATCTAAAGAACTTGTCACGCCGATAGATGATAGCCATAGCACTGTTCTCCTTTATCAACGAAATTTGAAAACACCACTTAAAACAGGAAGTGAAACCGGAGAAATATATAATCTTGGGTTTTACCTGCGTGTGCGCCAGAATATTTATTATCTCACCTCTATACGTTTAACATATTGAAGATATTAATGTTGTAGTTAAGTTGATATTCGTTAACACCTACATGATTTTAAGTTGGTTTAAAGTTTCTAATAATCGGCAACAATGGCAGAACTTTCATCAAGTAAAGACCCTAAGAAGACTCTCAAAGAACTATACCGTATCCTGAAGGAACATATACGAGGTGTTGCTGATGATAATGGCGATTTAAGTAATGACCGTGATCACTTACAAGACATTATTCAACAAACGGTTGAAACACTTCAGTCTGGTCGGTTTAAACAGCCAGTTCTTCGAAGAAGTTATCCAGATTCGAAGGACAAGAGCAAGGAAATTTTCGAAAAGGAGAAGAGAACTCAACGAACTATTGAGAGCATGGAGGATCATGAACTACAAGCGTTCAGAGAGAAGATTAAAGTCGAGCAATCCCTATGTAAGGTATGTGGTACAGTAATATGACCTCTCTAAAACGTCTAGATTATCAGAATCTTTTGCCCTTTGGGGTGAGATAAGGGAATCAATCCCCGAGGTTTTTTCCCTCTTACCCTGATTGATCATTTCGTATACATTCAATATTGCATTACATATTCAATGTATTGTTAACGTGACGTCAATGCACTATCGACGTGACGTCATTGTATTATTGACGTGACGTTATACAAAATATTTGACTAGGGAATCCCTCAGTCTCCACCCTTAAAGTAAGACAAATATAAGAAAGGAAAATGGATATTTCTATGAATTATCTACGACGATGGCCGTAGGTGACCAGGCACATTTGAAGAATTCATACTTTGTTTCTGTACAAAATAACACGTTTGTGCTCACTTTTGTGTGATACACAAACGAAGTATATATATACGGTACAGTTACAAAGTATAGATTCTTCGTTTGTGTACATGTACCACACACACGTGTACGAAGTATTTATACAGTAGAAACATCGTATAAATGCTTCAATGTTCTGGGGTGCAGTGAAATCACATCTGTACACCCTTCTCTGTTCTAGGTAGCCCACTCAAATTATTTCATCTCAAAACATGTCTGATTACCTGCTTACGAACAATTCGGAGGGAGTGTCACCTTGAGCACTTCCGGAACACATACGTTTTACACTATTAAATAAATACGGTACAACTGAGGTATTGATACAGATTCTGTTACGTTCTGAATAAATTATGCACGTTTCATTGAATTTGGCTTTAAATTAAAATAAATCTAAACAATCACACCTGTTAATCGCTTGTATTTACGTGCGAGGGTTACATCGCGGAAACTTAATACTTTCTATCCATTGTTCAGACGAAGATATGGATTATAAGACTCTTTCATGCCCAGGGGTGTAGGATAGGGAAATTCCACCCGAGGGTTTTTCAGATTTTGTAAAACCCGAGACTTTGCCGAGGGTTTTGCCGAATTTGAATAACCCGAGGTTGAAATTTCACTATCCTACACCTTTGGGCAAGAAAGAGTATTTTTCTCTCATTCCAACTACCAGAATAAGCTCAGAAACCGTGTATATCAGTGTACGTGTTTCGTGAGGCTAGGAAGTCGTACTAGGAAGTACGGATAATATTTTTTTGGTAAGTTGTATTTTGTCTGTGTAGATTTACAATATAAATAAAAGGTATAGTTAAATGGACAAGTCACGCATACAGACGTCTTAAGGAATCATAGAAAAAAAATGCTCAGATATTATGTTACAGGTGATTATATACATATCTTGATTCAACGACGGTTCAACGACGGAAACTTAAGTTACGTTTACAAATGGAAAGTAAGATAATATAGCGGTTGTCTTTCACCAAGGCGGCCGGGGTTCGATTCCCCGATCGGACGTGAAAAGGTATAGGGTCACCTGCCCGAATACGTGGGTTTTCTCCGGGTACTCCGGTTTCATATCATATGTAGTTAACAGTTGATATCGTTAAGAGTTATGTTTTTATGTTAACATTTGCTCTGCATCCTTCCATTACAATGCATTGAGCGTCATCAATCTATATTCTGACGTCATCAATTTAAACTCTATCAAAATGTAAATATAACTGCAACTCGCGATACATTTGAAACTTATTTTAAGCATGACTATAGCTTTGATAAATCAATCATCAGAAAAAAACAATACCTCGCAGGACTTTTATGAAAAAGATATAGATGAAATAAACACAAAATAACTCAGAACTGTGTTCTTTGTGCGAATATCAAGGGAAATTAACTTTTAAAAACGCACCGTGACTTGTCTAGTGTTTTGCCTGAAGTGGGGCAGGGATTGTTAATGTCCCTATAAATGGACAAAGAATAACAATATTATAGAATGTTCGTACCAAATAGCTAAATCATTTATTTATTTTTACAGACGAAGGATAAATTACAAACTTTAGAGAAAAAACTTGAAAGTGATAAGGCAGAAGACAGTGACATCTCCGAACTATTATTAGAGATGAAGAGTTTAATTGGCGAATGTCTCCATAAACAAACCCATGCAGATATCATGGTGGAGAAAATCAGCGTTGGTGTACAGAAACTCCTCGACCAAAACAAAACTGGACGACCCAAAGCAGTACATGAAGAGTTGATGGCATTCCATATCCCAGCTGAACTCAACTACGCATGCGGAAAAATACAGAAAAAAGGTTTCCGGTTCTGTTTATAATGTTATTTAAAAAAATAAAAATGAAGACGCTTTATTTGGCCGAGGAAATATATGATAATTAGTATTAATTCATGTTCACTTTCTCTGTTATTGGTTCATTGCTATTCCGTCTTTGCGTATTGCAGAGTTATCTTCTCTTGGGAGCAGGTATTGATTGATACGTCATTTGTTTGTAAGAGTAACGTCATCAATTTTTGAGAAAACGACGTAATTTTCTCACACAAACCAATGACGTAACAATCAATACCTCTGCAATACGCAAAGACGGAATAGACACATTTGTCTGTATTTCTACACAGGTTAAGGACCATGTTAGACATAAACACCACTGTGGATGAGTCCTTAAAAGACATAACGGCGTAATGATGTAGTAAAAGTATTTTCTTTGTTTGGCTCTCTGTATTGACAAACTAAAGTGTCACATTCGTGCTTACTTACTTCGTGCTTCTGGTATTTATTTAAAGAGATACATGGTTCGTGAATTTGTTAGGGAATGTTTAACGTCGAATTTTCAAACTAAATGGCTCCTCCAGATACAAAAGGATATATATATATCCATGTCATTTAAGGATTCCTGTCCAACTGTACTGTGGTTTTTCGTATATACAAGTAACCTCCCCTTATCTTCTGTCTAGATATCACGTACTTCCGTTGAGCAGGTAACTCAATTGGTTAAAGCAATAGTATAACAATCTAAAGTCCATTCCTGAAATGCCTCATAATTTCAATTACATGCGTGTCTCATTTTCCAAGATATAACTTGGTAGACTCTGCTGGTGGATTGTCCAGTCCTCGAGGTACACCGTTACCACAGTAATATCATTTGTAAAGTTGCACGGTTCATAATATGCACTCTTTTCCAATGATTTAATTTGAAATTAACCAGTGTCCTTTACTTTTTGAAAATCATAAAATGTATGGGTTGTATTCACCCTTCCTTCTGTTTGAGTTTAGACGAATTCGGATTTGTTTTACCACTAGCATCATCAGGACGAGTCAGCTGTATGGTCCAGTGTAATTCATTTTTGGTATACTGTATCCGTTACCATTTGTTTAAGGTGCAATCACCTGTGTGTGTTACGTTCATATTTCAATAATAACAGGTGTGAAATTCAGACAATTCGGCTCGGCCCTGGGGATACCGGATGATCTACTGGAAGTTATAGAAGATCAAGATGACGAGGACGAAAGATTCCGACAAGTGATTTGGGAATGGGCGAGGGTTTCCAAATCAGTCAACATCCGCGATTTCGTAGGAGCGTGTCATTCTCTTGGCGAAAATCTAGTTAAAGGTAAACAATATACGGTTTTGCCTACTCTCAAGTCTAAATTGGAATATATACTCGTATTACATTTACTTATGAAGCATTTTCCATTTTTAACATTTTAAAAATTTCTATCTGCACAAGAGGTCCACTGATGGCTTTTCAGATTAGTTTCAGTGAGAGCATAGTATGGTTGCAATACATTATCATTTTCATACTCCAAAAACAGGCGCAGTGGGCATGTATCGAACCCCTTTTTCTTTTGTTATTTGAAACTAGACAAGATGTTGACATATCGTGAAGGTTTATTAATTCTTTTGATTAAAGGTCCTGGTATGTCTTTCTATCATATTGTGTTGGATATTTACTGTTGATTAAGGGTAAACAACAGACTTTCTTTCTTGTTTTGTCCCGTTTCAATTTCGTTGTTTAAAGAGAGGTCGAATTCTACAGTTCTTAACGGCCCATAACTGCAGAAGAGGTCTTTAGGGCCAATGAAAGGTAGATAAAAAAGAAACCACATCAAATAAACAAAAAGACAAAAAAGACAAATGTCATCTTGGAAACAAATGCCTATGGTTAGTTATATCTTTTTTTTAACAGACCAACAGTTTTCAGGTAGGTTAGAATTGTTGTGATAATTACCGTTTCGAAGAGTGATTTGTGATTTGTTATATTCCTATAATTTTGCTCGTGTTGGCTGAAGGTCGATGCATTCTGTAACAAATGCTTTACTGTAAATGGTCCGTGACATGCTACACATTGAGGTTGGTCCTCGCATTTCAATAAATAAGAATGCGTAATGTATGACTGTAATTTTACAACCACAAGCATACGTGGGCGATTGTGTTGTTAAATCTGACATTGGAACCTTTTTTTAACTAAAGATAATGTGGGCGGTTTCACCATTGACCGAACTTCATTTAATATCTAGGGCCAAATTGCTTGATGCACCATAACGGTAGGTTTACGTGAGAGAGCGATTGTGACACATTCCGACACTGAAATATCTTTAAAGAATAACTTACGTGGGCGGTTACAACAATGATTGGCCCACACTTGTCAGAAGCATTATTTACTCATCGGATCGCGCAAATTATGGTTTGAAAGAACGTACGCGATGAAAAAATGTTTTCGAGGGTCTCCATGTGAATCTTCCCTTTGTTCATGCTTTGTTTTATTGCTCGTTTAATTGATTTTTAGTTCAAATTGTAGTTTTGTCGACACATCGGTATCCACTTGACGTTTTTGCGTTTTTGTTTTTTTATCAAACTATGTTTGATCTTGATTTAATGGCATATGGCATTTAAAAATAGAGCTGATATCTTCAAAACATGTAGGCGTACCCCCGTATATTTAACTCGTCTCAATATGTGTTTCCTTCAAATAGTAAAAGCTTTTTACATCAGACGGTATATTAAAAGTGAGATGTCGTTTTATTCATTTATAGCGTACACGACTAATAAGTGGGTTTAGAAAGAATACATTTGGAGTAGTATTAGTGTTGTATAAAAAAGAGTTCAAATGAAATTTAAAAAAAAGTGAATTTACCTAGTATAGCACAGATATTACCCCCATGAAATGTCCAAAAGATGGCATAGACTCTGTGAAGTATTTGTACATATAGCTAGAAACAATTATAAGATCATCCGCGAGTTACTTTTAGGGCGATTCGCCGCAACAGCGTGAATAACCCTTTCCAAAATGCTATTTATCTAACCTCTGAAATTTTACATGTTTTCTCTCATTTTAAATGATACTATACAAATTTTGTAACATGCAGTTAAATATAATAACAAGTTCATTTACCTAACAACGCTTCGAATTTGGTCTTAAGATAGCAAAAAAACTAGAAATATGTAATAGTCATCTGGAAAGAGAACAACCATATATATAGCTATAGAGCTAACACAACAAATCTGAACAAGTATGAAAAATATACAAGACTGGAAAGTCATTTAGCATACAAAGCTTCGAATATAGCCTGCAGAAGGCATTAATATTGCAATATATTGTAGTCAGATGGAGGCAAAACACTTGCGGAAACTAACATTTTGAAATTAAATTTTAGGTTTGACAAAATGTAATTAAATACAAATATTACACATACAACTTTGTGATCCAGATTTTTTTTAAACCGACCAATGAAGTCTATAATCTTCTTTAAGATGAACCATTGTCACAAGAAGAAACAGAGAAGCTATTAAGTAATGTGGATTACCTTTGTGAAAATATGATGGATGTGCCCTTGGTGTTACCACACCTGGTATCAACGCTGGTGTTGTCTCCGGGACTTTGTGAATACATAGTCGCTCCGCCAGTAAGAATACAAAGAATTCTCAGACTTGTCGACATTCTCTGCATCAGGAAGAACGGACTGGAGGAGTTCTGTGTGGCCCTGAAGAAATCTGAACAGGACCATGTTGCCATGCAATTAAAAGGTAAGAAGTTTTTCATCTGTTTGAGCTAAATGTTGACACGGTAGTAATACGATAGTCAATAAATGTTTAATTATCGAAAACTAAGATGGAGTTCACTTTAGTTGATGTGTTTGACTTATGTTAAATGATCTAAAATCGTACAGCGTAAGATGCAAATTTAACGTGTCCAGAACAACAATTACTTAGGAATATCATTACTGTTTCTGGCTCTTCTGTTCAAAAAGACAAAAATGAAGAGTCGGACAAAAGACGGACCTATGGCAAGAGTACGAAATATAATGTGAAGAAAGGGAAATTTAGGGTGAAAGGTGCATACATTCAAACCTATATTCAGAGATATATTTCCAAAAGTCTATAAGTTTGCTTAATTCTTAATTATTGCTGGTTATGCCTCTTGTTACAGATTATGTTAAAACTGCAAAACGACACTTTGATAAATTGTCTCCTTGCACAGGCGGTCTTGACTGGTTTTTTTTTTTGTCTGCTTTTTTTTAAGAAAATTTAGATTATGTTGAATTATAAATTTATCGGATCTGTTTAATTGTGCTTGATTTATTTCATCAAGGTCTTGTACAGAGTGTACCAAGGTTTTGTAGAAGATCAAGGTCTCTCACAAGCATCATAGATGACACTGACGAGGACAACACAAGTACAACGGCGGACGACAGCAGATCCTCGTGTGAGGTTTTGCAGAAAATCGTGCGACTGTTGAGTACCGAAGGCTTAATCAAACAGTGATCACACAGCCGATCTCAGAGAAAAACTGTTTATGTATTCCTATTCACCAATAAGTGGTACGGACTGAGATTGGCACCATATTTGCGGAGATAACAGATTTGTAACGCGCAGGCCCACACGTGCACCCATCCAGCCACTGATCACCAAGCTCGACATTGGTGAACTAGTGAACGCATCCCAGGGTTATACAACATCGCTGTAAACGCTAGTTTGTCAGTACGGCTGTATTTCCCCACTTAAGTAACCAGCTATAATAAATTGGCTTACTAGCCGTAGTTCTTTTGCTGCTCGATCGCTAGGTGTCACTTTCAAATGTGAAACTATACGGTACCAACGTATGCAAATCGAGGACGCGGAATGTAAAGAATGTTTAACATCAATTGATGGTCAACACACTCGAGGAAAGAAGAGGTCAAGAAAAAGAAAAACATTCAATACTTCTTTTGTTACTAACGAGAATTCAAACGAAGCGGTTGATTTTTTTTAATTTTTCAGCACAAACTGACTTCCAACTACATTGAACTTTCAGTGTATACAATGACGCGGTTTTCAGTATCATTGTTTGCGGGTGATTACATTACTTTCTTGGAATTAAAAGGATGTTTCATGTCGAAAATGCCACGATGCAGAAAACGTCCCTCAGAAGTAGCTGTTTGCCTATCTTTTTATGTTAGTAGGGTGGCGCTTTCGCCTTTCACCAAGGCGGCCGGGGTTCGATTATTGGATCAGACGTGAAAAGGTATGGGGTCACCTGCCGAACCATGGGAGCTTTAATTTTTCATAATACTCAGGTTTCCTCCCACATTAAGATCCTTCGCGCACTAACATCCGGGCTAACAAGAGTGATTAATTTAAGTTGTAATAACTTGTTTCATAATTGTTGTAAAATAATACATGTATATATAATTTATATTTTGTTTACCTTTTTGTTGGTGAAAGTGGATGAGGCCGTTTGTCAGCTATTTGTATATCGGATATGAATGTGCCGACATCGGGAAAACGGTTAGAGGAAACATCAAATGTATCTCGTCGTGTTAAACCTATTCCACTAAGGGAACAGACTGAAATGTTTTTGTACTTGTTCCAAGATGTTTCGATACTTCCCAAAAGTTGTCTCGATATCTTATAGGTTTTACGGCACAAACTGATTTCTTGATCAATATATATAGATAGATTAATAAAATCTTTCATCCCATTGGGGGTGAGATAGGGGGATCTCAACCCGAGGGGGGAATATTCTTAATTTGCCAAACATGAGGCTTTGCCGAGTGTTTGGCAACTTAAGAATATTCCCCCCGAGGGTTGAGATCCCCCTATCTCATCCCCCGGGGGGGGGGGGGGGAATGATTTTTTTTTTCTTCCCCTGTTGTTCCTGTCCAAGTGTAAGACGAAGCATATTGTTTGTAAACAGGAACACGTGGATAGCGTTTTAATATTATATGTATGCGTCAGACGGTTCACGCATCATATTTTAAACATTTTAAAATCAATCCCATTTTCTTTGATGTCAAATGTAAACACGACAAGATTTGTGTACGTATGACCTCATAAAAGTATTCTTCTGGGTCACATCAGTGACGTCAGGTTTATTGTGGAGAACGTGCAAAGAGCATGTGTAGCTCGTCTCAACCCTAGGGTGAGACAAGGAAATCTCACATCGGTAAAAGTAAGAATAAGTCTGTCCAGGGTAAGAGAAAGAATATTCCTTGATGAGATGAAAGTGCTACGGACGTGTTGTTGAGGTTTTTTTCTCTTTATGTTATTTATATTATCAAGGATCATTTTACTACTGTTATAAAATATATATGTTTATACATGTACTACATAAAAATACGAGACAATTTATTTTGAATAATAAATACAATTTTTATACTGATAAATAACACCCATCCATGCTCGGATACTTTAGGGGTTACGTTAACTTACGTTCCCTGCACCCCTGGAATATCGAAGGTTCGGTGTGTGCTCCATTGTACCTTGTTGGTGTAAAAGAAGCCGTAGTTAGATCCTTTGTTGTACATCAAAAGAATATCGCAGCGCGTGACGGCAAAACTGACGGGATTTGAAATTGGGTGTCGCTCCTCTGTAATCTAAAAAGGACATGTATCTGCAGCTTACCGGTTGGTCAGGTTTCTTTTTCACTGGAGACCAATCAAATAGCTAGCTGCATGCCTTCAATTTTGCTATGGCATATATTCCAGGGGTGTAGAGAGCGAAAGTGAGCGTAACCCCGGGAGTATCGAAGATTGCATAAATCATGTAAAATATGCTGAAATAAATCATCCAAAATGTAAAGATTTAATCCAAAAAGGGTTTAAAAATGCATTCAAAACGTGTAGTAGTGTGTACATCATTCAATATTTACACCCATATTCATTGCAATACTAATATTATTTTTACCTTAAACTACCCACGTGTCCAATGGAAACAAGTGTTCAACTGCGACGTCCTCAAGTTAATGGTTCATCAAATCTTTTAACAGATATTTATTCAACTTACAATTCTCCATGGTAAAGTGTAACTTAAGGATCCCAGTACCACTGCGCGAGACTGTGACTATGCCTTTGAAAACGTTTTTTTCTGACATGACTATAACTTTGATTAATTTATTTGTGAAAAGAATACCATACCTAGTTGGACTTTTATGAAAAAGAAAGAGAAATCAAAAACTATAATCAACAAGTGTTCTGAGTGTAAAAATAGCCTTCATAATACATTCATAATATTATGGGTGTATTGAGAAACGGGGTCAGTACCTGTGGTGCTACAGATATACACAAATCAAAACTAAACTACTGATATATACAAAACGAAACTAGACTACTGACAGGTCAGCAAGGGCCCCGCTGTATGCCTGACAGTGTATCTCCTGACTTTAAGCAGCAAGCTAAAGCAAAAGTGATCATCCACTGTTCAGAAAGGACCATACAATAATTTTTGACAGTATATGCCCTGTTCTATTTTAAAGTAATGGCAATGTTGACCTTCGAAACCTTTTAAACCCTTATTACACATGTACCATCTTGTGAAATTTCAGAAAATTTGGCCTTCTGTAAGGGCCTTATACATGTATGATGAAATTTTGACAGGATATTCCCATTTCCGTTTTTTAATAACAGCGACCTTGACTATAGGAGTTTTTCAATCCACTACTGCACATCTGCATGTAATTAAAGTGTATAATTATAGGAAATCTCAGAAAGTTTGGCCTTCTGGAAGGCCCTTATCAAATGTCTTTTTGACTGTATATTCCCAATTCTATCTTAAGTAACAGTGACCTTGAACTTAGGAGCTTTTTAAACCCCAATTGCACATCTGCAAATCACGAAGTATCACCCTGTGAAATTTCAGAAATTTTGGCCATCTGAATCATGAGATAATCTCCTTAAACAAAAGCAGTGACATACAGACGACACTGTGATTACTATATAGGGCACCCGCATTTTGCGAGCCCTAATTAAGGGGAGGTTACTGTACGTGTGAAAAAAAACAAAGTTCAGTGGACAAGGATCCGTAAGTTAGGAATTATCCACACTTGGACTAGGGAACATTTGTGGGAGAACATCCTAAGCTATGGGTTTGAGTATAACTACTATTACTACTTTGCAGGACTCCTTACACTTAAAATAACTGATTTTTTCATCCATTGTGTGTGATTGAGTTTTTTATCAATGAAATGATCTCGGATGTCTTAACTGTTAATCCAATAGTGCTCAGAGCTAACATAATTGGCTCATAATGTAAACGTCACAAATATCTTTTGAAGAGTTTTTGTCTTACCACAATACATTTTGTATATTGAATACTTAAAGATGACTCTCTAAGCCCATGCTACTTGTTTTAAAGTTCTCATGGGGGAGATTCGCATGCTCATAATTTAAATCATAAACAAAATTTGTACACTCTAAGAGAAAAAATAATACTTTTAAATGACATCATCTTCACAGTTGTTCTTTCAGAAAACATCATCAGATCTTAGAAAATAGAAATAGTTTAGCAAATTCACTGGTTAAAATGCCCTTTTTAAGGCTCCAAAATTGGGAGTCTCCCTCAACAAGAGGCCCATGGGCCTTAACAGTCACCCGATATATTTATACAGAGAGTTGATTTTGTTTTTAACATGTACAGAAATATTATTCAAAGTGAAAATAACAATAAAACCACCTTATTCAATCTCTAGCATACAGATTTAAGACTAAAAAGTATTTGAAACTAGCACCTCTGATTCTAAACAAGGAAAATGAAGAAATTTTAGCACACTGACTCCTTTGAGCCCCACCCTACAGCCCTTGGGGGTAGGGCTGGCTCAAAATTTTCAAAGTATCAAACTGTCAACTCAGGGTTATAATTCCAATCAAGTTATCAACATGTAATATTCAAAGTATCATTTGCCATTATGAACCATATAAATTTTGCCCCTTCCCCAGGGGTAAACTTGAGACCCTAGGGTCATAAACCTTAAGACCCTTCCATCTATGAAGAGTATTTGATTCTACCATATCTGGGTCTTGAGAAGAAGATTTTTGAAATTTCAGTCAATTCAACCCTTTTTGGCCCCACCCATCAGCCCCTAGGGGTCAGTCAGGGCTCATATGTGCATACTATCAAACTGCTACCTAATACTGATAATGCTCACCTGAATTGAATTACTTCCAATGGAAATTAAACATATGTTGGTCCAAAATGTGATTTCCCAATATAAACTATAGTAAAGTTTACTTCCTCCCCAGGGGGAAACGTGAGACCCAATGGTCAAGAAATTCACAATTTTGGTAAAGCACCTTAACTCATTCACCCCTGAAGCTGCATTTGAACTCTTCCAATTCCAAGGTTAGAATAGTCCATTATAAAATTTCAGGGGTGAATGAGTTAAGACCCTTTCATATATGAAGAGTATTTGATTCTACCATATCTGGGTCTTGAGAAGAAGATTTTTGAAATTTTAGTCAATTTGACCCTTTTTTGCCCCGCCCCTCAGGTCCCTGGGGACTTGGGACTAAATCGGCCACTATTTTTGTTGACCTTTGTCCATGGAAGATCCCTGCAAAATTTCATTGAAATTGGTTCAAGGGTTTTGGAGAAGAAGATTTTTGAAATTTTAGTCAATTTGACCCTTTTTTGCCCCGCCCCTCAGGCACCTGGGGGCCTGGGACTAAACCGGCCAATTTTTTGGTTGATCTTTGTCCATGGAAGATCCCTGCAAAATTTCATTGAAATTGGTTCAGGGGTTTTGGAGAAGAAGTTGAAAACGTAAATTGTTTACTGACGCAATAGGTCACTTGAGACTTTGTCTCAGGTGACCTTAAAATAGGGAGAGCTTGAAAGTATGGTATGGCAACCAACTTTTTATATTAAAATATATTGGGTATATCACATATATTCTGTTATTTGAAATTCAGTTAATATTTTATTTAGAATATACGAAAGTGACCATCGGTTTAGCAAACTTCAGGATTTCAGTATTTGAGAAAAAATGTTGCAAGTGTTGCCATCCCATGCTCAGGGGTGTAGGATAGAGAAATTCCACCCAAAGGGTTTTCAAATGGGTGCAAAACCCTCGCCAAGCCTCGGGTTTTACCCCATTTGAAAACCCCTCTAGTGGAATTTCCATATCCTACACCCCTGACATGGAAGAGTCTTATATTGTTATGTATATATTATATGTTCCTATACCAGGTAGATCATACAGAAGACAATGAATATGCTTTTATTTTCTGGAGGTAATAAATTCTTTTTCATTTCTTCTGTTTTAAAAGCCATCTTTTACATCACAGATGTGGTATTTGATAAAAAATCATGATTTAGAATTGTTCTCAGCAAATTTTTGAAAAGCTTCAAAAATTACTTTTATGAGCAGTAAAAATTAAAGTTTATCCCGTTTTGATCCAGGTACACTGTAAATTTATTTATTTTATCAGACTCAAATTTTATCGTATCATTGAATTTTAACAGATTTGCGCATTGATGAATTGGTGCACTCACAATATTTGCAATAACATCATATATAGAAACTTTAATTAGTGCAATAAATTATTCTCAGCAAACTTTTGAAAAGCTTCAAAAATTACTTTTATGAGTGAAAAATAGAAAGTAAAAATTAAAGTTTATCCCATTTTGATCCAGGTACACTGTAAATTTGTTTATTAAATCAGACTTGAATTTGATCATATTATTGAATTTTAACAGATTTGCGCATTGATGAATTGGCGCACTCACAATATACCGGTATGCAATACAATATTATATACAGAAACTTCATTTAGTGCAATCAAAAATGAGCAAAAGATTTAAAGCGGAAGAATCACTAGACTTAGAATACTGCTGAAATATATACATTATAACAGTATTATTTAAATATACATATCAAATTGTTTTCAATTTGTAAGGAATGGTAACTTACATTTTGTGATAGGAATGTTTTGTAATATATGTGTCTGAATGAATTGTTGAATAAAAATGTTACAAATACAGCTGTTCCTCAAAGTGTTGTAATATCTGAAGAAATCACAATGTTGTATCACAGTATTATTGTACACATGACAATAACTGAAAAAGCTGGCTTTTAATATGACCCGAGAAGAAATATCACGTAGAAACAAAAATGATTTAACAATATCACAGCAAACAGTATCGTTTTGGACGGCATGCACATTGTTTATAATCCAGATACTGACCTAATATATTCAAAATTCAAATTATTAGTTTCAGTATCATTTATTAACGCAGTGAGAACTTCCAATGTGGGTTTCTCTAGTATAATGTTAATTCAGTGTGAACCAGTAACACAAGTGTCACTTACAGACGGACAATTTGTGGTAAACCAGTACCACTTGTGTCACTAACAGACGGACAATTTGTGGTAAACCAGTAACACTTGTGTTACTTACAGACGGACAATTTGTGGTAAACCAGTAACGCTTGTGTCACTAACAGACGGACAATTTGTGGTAAACCAGTAACACTTGTGTCTCTTACAGACGGACAATTTGTGGTAAACCAGTAACGCTTGTGTCACTAACAGACGGACAATTTGTGGTAAACCAGTAACACTTGTGTTACTTACAGACGGACAATTTGTGGTAAACCAGTACCACTTGTGTCACTAACAGACGGACAATTTGTGGTAAACCAGTAACACTTGTGTCGCTTACAGACGGACAATTAGTGGTAAACCAGTAACACAAGTGTCACTTACAGACGGTCAATTTGTGGTAAACCAGTAACACAAGTGTCACTGACAGACGGACAATTTGCGGTAAACCAGTAACACTTGTGTCGCTTACAGACGGACAATTAGTGGTAAACCAGTAACACAAGTGTCACTTACAGACGGTCAATTTGTGGTAAACCAGTAACACAAGTGTCACTTACAGACGGACAATCTGTGGTAAACCAGTAACACAAGTGTCACTTACAGATGGACAATTTGTGGTAAACCAGTAACACAAGTGTCACTAACAGACGGACAATTTGTGGTAAACCAGTAACACAAGTGTCACTGACAGACGGACAATTTGTGGTAAACCAGTAACACTTGTGTCGCTTACAGACGGACAATTTGTGGTAAACCAGTAACACATGTGTCACTGACAGACGGACAATTTGTGGTAAACCAGTAACACTTGTGTCACTAACAGACAGACAATTTGTGGTAAACCAGTAACACTTGTTACAGACGGACAATTTGTGGTAAACTTACAGACGGACAATTTGTGGTAAACCAGTAACACAAGTGTCACTAATAGACAGACAATAGTTTGGTATGTATCTTAATCAATTACACCTGCAGTCACTGAAAATGGGATTCAGAGTAAAGTATCACAGAGAATGTGTGCTTACCTAGGTCAATTATATTCCAGCATTGTAATAGAAAATACATTGCATTGTACATGATACAGTGACGTGCCACAATTTAAAAAGTCTTTCACGTTACGTCATTTTCCCATTGATTCCATGTTAATTTACTTTTGGAAATTTTATTTCCCTGGCTTAATTCATTTCAGGTAAAAAAAAAAAAAGGGTAATGAATTCAGCACAAAGTTATAGAATTACCTAGCGCTTTTCTTGGTAATATTAATACAATTATCCATTTCTTAGAATTCAAACCGTGACGGGTCACTTGGCAAAAACAATTTTTACGGTAAAATTCAACATTGTATCTATGGGAATGACAACAAAGTATACCTTTTATGCTGGGATGAAAGTGATATCTCAATAACAGAGCCATGGATGATAATATAAATATTACCAGAACAGACACCGGATAATCCTCTAATGGGATTCCAATGGGTAATGATGTAACATGAAAAACTTACTGAAAGTCACTGTATATAGTGAAAACCACTTCCATGTATATAATGTATATCACAGGAAAAAACTGTTATGTTGCCACCATTGTCCCAGTAAAACAGCTGCTTTATAAAAGAAATTGGTGACATATCCTCTAAAAACCACATAGAAGAATATTTAAGAAACAAAAGGCATTATGTCATGGTTTCAGTGTATTCAAAACATTCAATCAGAAATACAGTTAAACAATTTGAATAAAATATATATAGATATGATATGTAAAAGATATCAAAATAAAAGAGATTTTACAAAAGACAGACAACAATACAAAAACAGTCAAACTCTCCAAAATCAGGACACTTCAAATTACTGATTTAACCCTTTCATCCCCTATGTAACTTAGTGGACTCTACCTTGCATTGATCTGGATGAGTCCATTATGGTCTACAGTGGCCAAAGGGTTAACTGATTTCATATTTATGTGTGAGTAACATTTTCTGGTATTAACTTTCTTTCTTTTATCTACTTTTTATGTTAAAATGAGAAAATGTGCAATACACACTATATATAAATGGCCCTTCAGGACCTCCATCCCACTGTCGCCTTTGGGCAGTGGTACAGGGATCCTTACAGCAACAATAAACTTGTCAACAAAGGCTTTGGTGTCTGATTGCTGCACACCAAGTGTTAAATATCATGGAAAGGTTAATGATATGCGCATCTTTTGGCCTTCAAAAGCACAGGTTTACAAAATCAACACAAGTTCTCTAATTCTGTATTGTTTACATCATCCACACTGATTTATCATTATCTTAAGCAATTTTCAACACTAATACATATTTAAGAAGTTTCTTTATAAAGAACCTGCACCACTCAAGAATAAAATATAATGCCCCCTTAGTCACTTGACCCCCAAGGAACCAAATAATCTCCTTTGGTAACATCACAGAAACCAGATCATCACAACCACTAACACCATGGTAACCAGACAGCTGTCCTCAGTAACACCAGAGAAACCAGATCATCACAACCACTAACACCATGGTAACCAGATAGCTGTCCTCAGTAACACCACAGAAATAGATCATTACAACCACTAACACCATGGTAACCAGATAGCTGACCTCAGTAACACCACAGAAACTAGATCATCACAACCACTAACACCATGGTAACCAGATAACTGTCCTCAGTAACACTACAGAAACCAGATCATCACAACCACTAACACCATGGTAACCAGGTAGCTGTCCCCAGTGACACCACAGAAACTATACCATCATAATCACTCACACCATGGTAACCATATAGCTGTCCTCAGTCACACCACAGAAACTAAATCATCATAATCACTAACACAATGGAAACCAGATAGCTGACCCCAGTAACACCACAGACACTAGATCATCATAATCTCTAACACCATGGTAAGCAGATAGCTGTCCCCAGTAACACCACAGAAATAGATCATTACAACCACTAACACCAGGGTAACCAGATAGCTGACCCCAGTAACACCACAGACACTAGATCATCATAATCACTAACACCATGGTAACCAGATAGCTGTCCTCAGTCACACCAGAGAAACTAGATCATCACAACCACTAACACCATGGTAACCAGATAGCTGTTCTCAGTAACACCAAAGAAACTAGACCATCATAATCACTAACACCATGGTAACCAGATAGCTGTCCTCAGTAACACCACAGAAACCAGATCATCACAACCACTAACACCATGGAAACCAGATAGCTGACCTCAGTAACACCACAGAAACTAGACCATCATAATCACTAACACCATGGTAACCAGATAGCTGTCTTCAGTAACACCACAGAAACCAGATCATCACAACCACTAACACCATGGTAACCAGATAGCTGTCCTCAGTAACACCACAGAAACTAGATCATCATAATCACTAACACCATGGTAACCAGATAGCTTTCCTCAGTTACATCACAGAAACCAGATCATCATAATCACTAACACCATGGTAACCAGATAGCTGTCCTCAGTAACACCACAGAAACTAGATCATCACAACCACTAAAACCATGGTAACCAGATAGCTGTCCTCAGTAACACCACAGAAATAGATCATTACAACCACTAACACTATGGTAACCAGATAGCTGTCCTCAGTAACACCACAGAAACTAGATCATCATAATCACTAACACCATGGTAACCAGATACCTGTCCTCAGTCACACCACAGAAACCAGATCATCACAATCACAAACACCATGGTAACCAGATAGCTGTCCTCAGTAACACCACAGAAACTAGATCTTCATAATCACTAACACCATGGTAACCAGATACCTGTACTCAGTCACACCACAGAAACCAGATCATCACAATCTCAAACACCATGGTAACCAGATAGCTGTCCTCAGTAACACCCCAGAAACCAGATCATCATAATCACTAACACCATGGTAACCAGATACCTGTCCTCAGTAACACCATAGAAACTAGATCATCACAACCACTAACACCATGGTAACCAGATAGCTGTCCTCAGTAACACCACAGAAACCAGATCATCACAACCACTAACACCATGGTAACCAGATAGCTGTCCTCAGTAACACCACAGAAACTAGATCATCACAACCACTAACACCATGGTAACCAGATAGCTGTCCTCAGTAACACCACAGAAACTAGATCATCACAACCACTAACACCATGGTAACCAGATAGCTGTCCTCAGTAACACCACAGAAACTAGATCATCACAACCACTAACACCATGGTAACCAGATAGCTGTCCTCAGTAACACCACAGAAACTAGATCATCACAACCACTAACACCATGGTAACCAGATAGCTGTCCTCAGTAACACCACAGAAACTAGATCATCACAACCACTAACACCATGGTAACCAGATAGCTGTCCTCAGTAACACCACAGAAACTAGATCATCACAACCACTAACACCATGGTAACCAGATAGCTGTCCTCAGTAACACCACAGAAACTAGATCATCACAACCACTAACACCATGGTAACCAGATAGCTGTCCTCAGTAACACCACAGAAACTAGATCATCACAACCACTAACACCATGGTAACCAGATAGCTGTCCTCAGTAACACCACAGAAACTAGATCATCACAACCACTAACACCATGGTAACCAGATAGCTGTCCTCAGTAACACCACAGAAACTAGATCATCACAACCACTAACACCATGGTAACCAGATAGCTGTCCTCAGTAACACCACAGAAACTAGATCATCACAACCACTAACACCATGGTAACCAGATAGCTGTCCTCAGTAACACCACAGAAACTAGATCATCACAACCACTAACACCATGGTAACCAGATAGCTGTCCTCAGTAACACCACAGAAACTAGATCATCACAACCACTAACACCATGGTAACCAGATAGCTGTCCTCAGTAACACCACAGAAACTAGATCATCACAACCACTAACACCATGGTAACCAGATAGCTGTCCTCAGTAACACCACAGAAACTAGATCATCACAACCACTAACACCATGGTAACCAGATAGCTGTCCTCAGTAACACCACAGAAACTAGATCATCACAACCACTAACACCATGGTAACCAGATAGCTGTCCTCAGTAACACCACAGAAACTAGATCATCACAACCACTAACACCATGGTAACCAGATAGCTGTCCTCAGTAACACCACAGAAACTAGATCATCACAACCACTAACACCATGGTAACCAGATAGCTGTCCTCAGTAACACCACAGAAACTAGATCATCACAACCACTAACACCATGGTAACCAGATAGCTGTCCTCAGTAACACCACAGAAACTAGATCATCACAACCACTAACACCATGGTAACCAGATAGCTGTCCTCAGTAACACCACAGAAACTAGATCATCACAACCACTAACACCATGGTAACCAGATAGCTGTCCTCAGTAACACCACAGAAACTAGATCATCACAACCACTAACACCATGGTAACCAGATAGCTGTCCTCAGTAACACCACAGAAACTAGATCATCACAACCACTAACACCATGGTAACCAGATAGCTGTCCTCAGTAACACCACAGAAACTAGATCATCACAACCACTAACACCATGGTAACCAGATAGCTGTCCTCAGTAACACCACAGAAACTAGATCATCACAACCACTAACACCATGGTAACCAGATAGCTGTCCTCAGTAACACCACAGAAACTAGATCATCACAACCACTAACACCATGGTAACCAGATAGCTGTCCTCAGTAACACCACAGAAACTAGATCATCACAACCACTAACACCATGGTAACCAGATAGCTGTCCTCAGTAACACCACAGAAACTAGATCATCACAACCACTAACACCATGGTAACCAGATAGCTGTCCTCAGTAACACCACAGAAACTAGATCATCACAACCACTAACACCATGGTAACCAGATAGCTGTCCTCAGTAACACCACAGAAACCAGATCATCACAACCACTAACACCATGGTAACCAGATAGCTGTCCTCAGTAACACCACAGAAACCAGATCATCACAACCACTAACACCATGGTAACCAGATAGCTGTCCTCAGTAACACCACAGAAACCAGATCATCACAACCACTAACACCATGGTAACCAGATAGCTGTCCTCAGTAACACCACAGAAACTAGATATTGTATACTGGAAAACTCCAGTGTTAATTTAGTCCTTCACCTCTAATCACTGCACATGGTACGTTTTGTTCTAATATCAGTGAGGTTTTACAGGCTGTTTCCCCTAGCTAAAAAGTGTCCTATTTTCCCTAAACGACCAAAAACTGAGGAATTTATAGGAATATATTCCTAATTTCAATAAAAATATTGCCATATTTTCCCAATTTATAAAGGAACAGGCTGTTGGAAAATTCATTTTTATGATATATTCTCCTTCATTACAAAGAATGAATAGGGCCAAACATTCTAATTGCAGTCAACACGTTTTTGTAGAACATAGTATACAATAATAACCATATTGTATATCATACCACAGAAACCAGATAATTGTCAACATCATGGAAACAGCATAATCTCTACCACAGAAAGTGGACAATCTTCATCAGTGACACCACAGAAGCTGAAAAGCCACAAGACTTGTCAAGTTTATCACATGCCTTCTTTTGGCGGTATCGTACACTCAGTCTAGGCAGATACACAAGATTCCGTCATGTCCATCTCTCATGTATATATGCCACGCCTTTTTGTCTGACTCCGCCCCTTCAGTACTGACGGGTAGCATGAGAGGGAGAAATGAGCGCGGCCCTTCACCAAGACCAGGTAGGAGCCCTCGTAATCGGCCATGGTAGTCGAACTGGTACAGCGTCTCTCTAGGGAAGTTGTTCAATGTCACATGCTGGGTAACAGATACCAGAACACCCGCTGCAAAAATACCAAGATATATTCTATATTCAGTAAGATATTCGAAAGTTATGTTCTGGACAAGCATTATGTAAGTTTGACCCATCGTCTAAACTTTGAACATCCATGAGCACATGGGTGGCATTTTTTAACACTGTCTAGTCTAGATGTATGCCTTTATAAAATTGAACAAGAGTTCCGCGAAGCGGTACATGATACGCCTGTCAGATGTTGAATGAGCAGTTTGCCACAAAGGGCCAAAAGTGCAAAAAGTGCAAAGTGCCAAAACACATCCTGTCAATCAACGGGCGTATAAAAATGATATTCATTGGTTTTGATATATGGAGTCTAGACAAGGAACAGACACATGCTACAATGTATTACAGTAATGGCTAGGAAACCAAATGGAACACTTATGGGACTGACAATACAGACATGCTGGTGAATCTTACTTCATTTGGTTTTGATATATAGGCAGTTTTCAGGCCAGGCAATACAAGGTCTTGTATTTTGCACTTTTATAATACAAGATGTTTAATTACCCCAGTAGCAAGAATTCCTGTTGGCTGGAACTCATTGGAGTTCTCATTTTACTGATTAAATTGATGAATTGAAACAAAACAAGCTCCATTCATTTTAATGCTTTATTTGCCACAGTTATGTAACACCATTTTCCCAACCTGAATGTATTTCTGTATGCCATAATTGGAATTGAAACAAAAATGAGTTCTTAATTAACACTTCCGCACCATTTTTCGCTTTGGTAGATATATAATAAAGATAATACTGCACATGTATGAGTTTTTTTATTACATAAATGGATATATTTCACTTCCATTAAAGCTCTCTCTTGAAATTTATCCATATGCCAAATGTACTCATGAAATCTAAGACAACAGGTGAACAAATATGGGTGGTATTATAATGCTTACATATACAATGTTAAGGATACCGGTCCCACTAAACTGGGTTTTTTCGTATATACAGTAGACGCCTCCCCTTAATTTTTTTTGGGGGATAAAACTAAAGCCCAGTTTGGCCAGGAAACTTCCATTGACCAGGTAGCTCAATCAGTTACAGAGACAGTATAAAATAGTGTAACAGTCTGTTAGGACCGTGGTACGAATCCCCTATAGTCCCACTGAATTTTTTTTACAATATAACACTATTGTTGATTATTTACATTTTTATTTCGTCTCTATTATCTTTCCTAAAAGTCCTGTAAGGTATGGTTTTCTTTTCAGCTATGATTTATCAAAGCTATATATAGACATACTAGCAAAATCAGTTTCCGGTGCATACTGTATATATCCCAGAATTTGGCAGCGATACGAGGATCTATAATGTTGTCAAATGACATCAAAACAATACCATATTTACCAAGTGGGCTAAGGAAGCAGATATCCTTGGCATGGCCAGGCAATTCCACACACAGTATCATCTCGATGAACTCGGGTTCCTGGCTGAAGTTTAAACACACATGATACAATGAGACCACTTATTTCGACCAAAGAAGCATTTCACACTTGCATTTGGATTGATCTCTCTGGCGATATATGAGCATTTTAAAATTACACTTTCAGTTTTTCTTAGGTTATAGATTCCAGGTTTGTGTTACACTACATTAACATTTAGAAGTTTTCCAGACCTGTAAGTATTACATCAGGTTATAGATTCCAGGTTTGTGTTACAGTACATTAACATTTAGAAGTTTTCCAGACCTGTAAGTTTTACATCAGGTTATAGATTCCAGGTTTGTGTTACAGTACATTAACACTTAGAAGTTTTCCAGACCTGTAAGTTTTACATCAGGTTATAGATTCCAGGTTTGTGTTACAGTACATTAACAGTTAGAAGTTTTCCAGACCTGTAAGTTTTACATCAGGTTATAGATTCCAGGTTTGTGTTACAATACATTAACATTTAGAAGTTTTCCAGACCTGTAAGTTTTACATCAGGTTATAGATTCCAGGTTTGTGTTACAATACATTAACATTTAGAAGTTTTCCAGACCTGTAAGTTTTACATCAGGTTATAGATTCCAGGTTTGTGTTACAATACATTAACATTTAGAAGTTTTCCAGACCTGTAAGTTTTACATCAGGTTATAGATTCCAGGTTTGTGTTACAATACATTAACATTTAGAAGTTTTCCAGACCTGTAAGTTTTACATCAGGTTATAGATTCCAGGTTTGTGTTACAATACATTAACATTTAGAAGTTTTCCAGACCTGTAAGTTTTACATCAGGTTATAGATTCCAGGTTTGTGTTACAATACATTAACATTTAGAAGTTTTCCAGACCTGTAAGTTTTACATCAGGTTATAGATTCCAGGTTTGTGTTACAATACATTAACATTTAGAAGTTTTCCAGACCTGTAAGTTTTACATCAGGTTATAGATTCCAGGTTTGTGTTACAATACATTAACATTTAGAAGTTTTCCAGACCTGTAAGTTTTACATCAGGTTATAGATTCCAGGTTTGTGTTACAATACATTAACATTTAGAAGTTTTCCAGACCTGTAAGTTTTACATCAGGTTATAGATTCCAGGTTTGTGTTACAATACATTAACATTTAGAAGTTTTCCAGACCTGTAAGTTTTACATCAGGTTATAGATTCCAGGTTTGTGTTACAATACATTAACATTTAGAAGTTTTCCAGACCTGTAAGTTTTACATCAGGTTATAGATTCCAGGTTTGTGTTACAATACATTAACATTTAGAAGTTTTCCAGACCTGTAAGTTTTACATCAGGTTATAGATTCCAGGTTTGTGTTACAATACATTAACATTTAGAAGTTTTCCAGACCTGTAAGTTTTACATCAGGTTATAGATTCCAGGTTTGTGTTACAATACATTAACATTTAGAAGTTTTCCAGACCTGTAAGTTTTACATCAGGTTATAGATTCCAGGTTTGTGTTACAATACATTAACATTTAGAAGTTTTCCAGACCTGTAAGTTTTACATCAGGTTATAGATTCCAGGTTTGTGTTACAATACATTAACATTTAGAAGTTTTCCAGACCTGTAAGTTTTACATCAGGTTATAGATTCCAGGTTTGTGTTACAATACATTAACATTTAGAAGTTTTCCAGACCTGTAAGTTTTACATCAGGTTATAGATTCCAGGTTTGTGTTACAATACATTAACATTTAGAAGTTTTCCAGACCTGTAAGTTTTACATCAGGTTATAGATTCCAGGTTTGTGTTACAATACATTAACATTTAGAAGTTTTCCAGACCTGTAAGTTTTACATCAGGTTATAGATTCCAGGTTTGTGTTACAATACATTAACATTTAGAAGTTTTCCAGACCTGTAAGTTTTACATCAGGTTATAGATTCCAGGTTTGTGTTACAATACATTAACATTTAGAAGTTTTCCAGACCTGTAAGTTTTACATCAGGTTATAGATTCCAGGTTTGTGTTACAATACATTAACATTTAGAAGTTTTCCAGACCTGTAAGTTTTACATCAGGTTATAGATTCCAGGTTTGTGTTACAATACATTAACATTTAGAAGTTTTCCAGACCTGTAAGTTTTACATCAGGTTATAGATTCCAGGTTTGTGTTACAATACATTAACATTTAGAAGTTTTCCAGACCTGTAAGTTTTACATCAGGTTATAGATTCCAGGTTTGTGTTACAATACATTAACATTTAGAAGTTTTCCAGACCTGTAAGTTTTACATCAGGTTATAGATTCCAGGTTTGTGTTACAATACATTAACATTTAGAAGTTTTCCAGACCTGTAAGTTTTACATCAGGTTATAGATTCCAGGTTTGTGTTACAATACATTAACATTTAGAAGTTTTCCAGACCTGTAAGTTTTACATCAGGTTATAGATTCCAGGTTTGTGTTACAATACATTAACATTTAGAAGTTTTCCAGACCTGTAAGTTTTACATCAGGTTATAGATTCCAGGTTTGTGTTACATTACATTAACATTTAGAAGTTTTCCAGACCTGTAAGTTTTACATCAGATTAAGTATGTGTGAATAGGAGTGTCTTGTGCTAACAAATCATATAACGTCACGCTACAATATATAATCATGACAATTTTGACAATTTTTCTGTGATTTTTAGTAACCCAAATCTTATATGGTTTCTTGATTCTTGACATTTTAGGAAAAGTTTTGATTCTAAATAATTTCATTTTAAAAGTAAAATGCTTATAAACTCTTTGTGCGTTTAAATCTATTTATTAGCCGTGATTAATTACCAAATTAGTACACCATATCACAGGCTATATGAAACTTGTTTTTATTTCTACTAGTTGATCTGCCATTGCAACAAAACTCATTGCTTTTATAAATACCATACTGAATTACAATTGTATATTTACACTTTTATAGCATTTGGTTATAAAGACGAGAAATCAACATTTAAACATGCTTATAATTAACCCCTTCAAAATTCTCCAAAATATTTGTCGACATACAATGTACATTGTTTTATCTGGTTTTCTGACATGTTTACTTTGAAGCCATGGTATACTCTTAAAATACCACCAAAAGATTATTTTTTTTTGTGGAAAGGCAGATAAATACCTGTTTTGTTATACCATTAGAGGAAAAAACACCAAATTTAATTTCAAAGTACTATTCAAACCATTTTCTGACCGTGTACCAATTGGGGAAGCTTACCAATTGTGGTAGCGTGATGTTACAGTATACATGATGACCAAAGAGTTTTGAGTCCTGTAAACCCTTCTCTTCTGTGTAGTATATTACTATATAATATAATATGCCCACCATCGTACCATCTTTATCAGTTCTATGTCAGTTTAATCTTTTCTCTTATCTGTTTGATCACTTTGCCTGTCCGCCATTTTGTTCAATATTTTAATCAACCTCAATAGTTATCATGCATATAACTAAAAACCAAGGGGAACCTGCATATCAAATTTGAGAAAGATTCCTCCAGTACATTATGAGAAATAGTGATAACAAACTTAAACTGAAACAAAATGACTGACTGTCCCCATCTTGGTTTTCAGATCAGTCAAAAAAATTGATATGCATAACTAAGAATCAAAAGTGAAACTTGAGAAAGATCCCTCCAATACTTTTTGAGAAAAAGGGCTAACAAACTTTAACTCCAAAATTAAAGATGGCTGGCTGTCAGCCATCTTGGTTTTGTGATAGTTCCAAAAAAGGTAAAAAAAATGACCATGGGGAACCTTTGAGAAAGATCCCTCCTGTACTTTCTGATAAATAGTGCTAACAACAATTGTTTAAGGTTGGACGGATAACGGACAGACCACGGAGGAAGGGTGATCTGATTATGGTGGTCTAAAAAGTTAACTTCTAAGTTGTACAGCCATAGGGAACCAATTAAGTGAGGCTATGTTTGACCTCCGTGTAAACCTGTGTTTGAGACTGAAGTAAGGCCATGTAACATTTCGTCACTGTAAAAAAACTTACCACAATGGTATTTCCACGACAACCAAATGTGTGTCCAACGCTATGGCGACCTGGTTGCACTTGATCCCGGAGTCCTTAAGAATTTCCTTTTCTCCAATCACTTTTAAGTACTTCACTCTGTCTTTGCAATCTACTCCATTTTGTATTGACGGTGTGATCCTGTTATAAATGTAGATTAACAAATTAACATTATGACCTTGACATTTGACCTTCAGTTTCTGAAGTTTACATTTATGCTTATGTCTTGGTTTTTGTTAATTCATGTTTATTAACAAGAGGCCCAGAGGGCCTGTATCCCTCACCTGGATATCTAAGCAATCATGGCAAAATATTCTCCTAATGAGATACAAGGGAATAGGCCAGACCCCAAGGCCAATCCTTGTAGCATATCTGTATTTGATTTTTTATGCCCAGCAATTTTATGTATGGTTATGGGGTGGGGATCTCAACTGTTTCCAAGCTGTGACTCAGAAACTTTTTTTTGGCCCCACCCCTTAGCCCGGCGGGGGGGGGGGTCAGCCCCACCATTTGTACTATTTTGAATCCCTGCCTCCCAATGATGAATGCTTCCGACCAAATATGATCAATATCCATTGTATAGTTCTACGGAGGAAGTCGTTTATAGCAATATAGCCAAATTGCCCCCTTTTGGCCCAGCCCTCAGCCCCCTGGGGGGTCAGCCCCACCATTTGTACAATTTTGAATCCCCACCACCTAGGGACGCTTCCAGTCAAATATGGTTGATATCTATCTCTTAGTTCCAGAGAAGAAGTCGCTTAAAGTAATATAGCTAAATAACCCTTTTTGGCCCCGCCCCTCAGCTGCCACGGGGGTCAGCCACACCATTTGTACAATTTTGAATCCCTGCCTCCCATGAATGTTTCTGATTAAATATGATTGATATCCAGTGCATAGTTCTACAGAAGAAGTTGTTTGTAGCAATATAGCCAAAATGCCCCCTTTTGGCCCCGCTCCTCAGCCCCTTGGGGAGTCAGCCCAACCATTTGTACAATTTTGAATCCACACCACCTAGGGATGCTTTCAGTCAAATGTGGTTGATATCCATCTCTTAGTTCCAGAGGAGATGTCGCTTAAAGCAATATAGCCAAATCGCCCCCTTTTTGCCCTGCCCCTCAGCCCCCTGGGGGGTCAGCCCCACCATGTGTACAATTTTGAATCCCTACCACCTAGGGATGCTTCCAGTCAAATTTAGTTAAATTCCAATCAGTGGTTAAGAAGAAGAAGTTGTTTAAAGAAATTGTTGACGGACGGACGACGGACGCAACGGTATGGCTTAAGCTCACCTTGGTCCTTCGGACCTGGTGAGCTAAAAAGGAGACTTTCATGAATTTAAATCTTTTCAGGGATAACTTCTATCGGTCATGAGTTGGACCTATAGATATCCAGCAATCCTTATTTGTACAAACGCACTGTAGTTCCTGTTCCAATCGAAAGGTAAAATTCACAAGAGCTCCTTTAACATAATAAAGAATAATAACAGCAGCTCAACACCATGGTTTCTGATCTCTACAGTCTACCTGTGTCTTGGAAGCTATATTATGTAGATTGTAGAGATCAAAACCCGTTCTTGTGGTGTTCAGCATCCATTATTATTCTTTATCAGTCCCAAAATCGAATCCTTTTAATCAACATGCTACTCGCATAAATTTTAGCCAAAATTTCTTGTGATGTTGAGCATCTTTCCTTATTCTTTATCAGTCAGGAAAACGAATCCGCTCAATCACCAAGCTATGATAATAAATAATAGTAATAATTTGAGGTTCTTAATCATATACCACTATATCACAACCTAGTTAATTTGTAGGTCGTCCGAAAGGGTGAAAGCGGTTCACAAATTATTATCTGTGGTTATTGGGCCTTTGCAACCAGCCAATATCTTTTTCAGCTTCCTGGGAAGCATATAGCTGGTACTGCCATTTCGGCACTCACAGCTAGCATTCCAGCACTGCCTAACTACGTACTCATTTACAGCTGAGTAACCTGGAACAAGTAGAGTGAAGTATCTTGACTCAAACCAGCAACCCTTTGGTCACGAGCCCAGCGACCTACCACTAAACTACCGTGCTTCACAAAGACATAATTTGCAAAAAGCATATGCATCATTCACTTAATACTGTGGTTTTCTGACCTTCTTTCCCACACAATGATGATACATCGAAAACTTACTGGTCGCTAATCAGCACTTCTAGGGGAAGAAAACTGATGGAATCTGCGAAAATGAGTGTTTCTGTGGTTGTCATGATGGTGACGTTTCGACAGACAACCATTTTGTCTACAAAGGGGAAATGATCCACAATCGTCCCAAACCCATTCAAATGTGTGGTCAACCTACAAATATATCGGAAATATTATGTTAAAACAAACTGAAAACTGAACATTTTGTCCAACAAAAAAAACACCATCACGTACAATATTAATGTACCTGGTAATACAGGTCATTATTACCCCTTTGAGAAAAATCTAGGAATCTGATTGGTTAAAAGTGTACAGTGTACCAAACCGCATTCGTGATTCTCAGCAGTAATACGGTGGAATCACGTGATTTTACAAGGGGTATACATGCAATTATAATCCTCCTGTAAACATTTAGTATGGTTTGACTGTGAAATTAACCTGCTATTGATTACCTGTAATATCAACTCTCCTGTTATAAAAAAAACTTTAATTACAGTGTACCTGTATAATTTACCTGCTGTCTTTGTTGACGTAGTACACCTGGTTTCTGTACACTTGCGGTAAGCCACACTCCAAATCAACTTCATCGAGATGTACTATTTCATATTCTTCTGCAAACTTGTCATAGTAAATCACCTCACTGAAATACAATGGTTTTACGACTTAAACAATACATATTAGGTCTTGTACCGAGAAGTATAACAAGAGGCCCAGAGGGCCTGTATCGCTCACCTGGATACCTAAGCAATCATGGCAAACTATTCTCCAAATGAGATCAACGGAATATGCCAGACCCCAAGGCCACTCCTTGTAGCATAGCTATATTAGATTTTTCACGCACAGCAATTATATGTATGGTTATGGGGTGGGGATCTTACCTAGTTTCTGAGTCACAGATAGGATAATCTTTTTATAACAGGAGAGTTGATATTACAGGTATATCACGTAAACATTATCATACAAGCATAACAAATTATTATTATAACACCAATAATTTGTTATGCTTGTATGATAATGTTTACGTGATATACCTGTAATATCAACTCTCCTGTTATAAAAAGATTATCCTATCTGTGACTCAGAAACTAGGTCCCTAGGGGTTCGGTCAGACCCCAGGGTCTATTCTGATATCATGATTGCAATCGTCTCTTTATGCGAAGCATTTGTATATATAGTTTTGGGGTGGGGATCTCAACCTTTTAAAGTTATGGCCCAGGGACTATGTCTCGAAGGGTGGGGCCAGACCCTAGGGACATCCTAGAAGCAAATGTGCATTCTTCTCTTTATACTCAGCAATTGTATATATGGTTATATGGTGGGGATCTCAACCATTTCCAAGTAATGCATTTTATTGGCCCCACCCTTTAGCCCGGGGGGTCAGCCCCACCATTTGTAAAATTTTGAATCCCTGCCTCCCATGAATACTTCCGACCAAATATGATCAATATCCATGGCATAGTTCTGCAGAAGGAGTCATTTTTAGCAATATAACCAAATTGCCCCCTTTTAGTGCCGCCCCTCAGCCCCCTGGGGGGTCAGCCCAACCGTTTGTACAATTTTTAATCGCCATCACCTAGGGATGCTTCCAGTCAAATATGGTTGATATCCACTTCTTAGTTCCAGAGAAGAAGTCGCTTAAAGCAGTATAGCCAAATACCCTTTTTGGCCCTGCCCCTCAGCCCCCTGGGGGGTCAGCCACACCATTTTGTACAATTTTAAATCCCTGCCTCCCAGGAATGCTTTTGATCAAATATGATTGATATCCAGTGCACAGTTCTACAGAAGAAGTCTTTTGTAGCAATATAGCCAAATTGCCCCCTTTTGGCCCCGCCCCTTAGCCCCCTGGGGAGTCAGCCCAACCATTTGTACAATTTTAAATCACCATCACCTATGGATGCTTCAAGTCAAATATGGTAGATATCCACTTCTTAGTTCCAAAGAAGAAGTCGCTTTAAGCAGTATAGCCAAATACTCTTTTTGGCCCTGCCCCTCAGCCCCCTGGGGGATCAGCCACACCATTTGTACAATTTTAAATCCCTGCCTCCTAGGAATGCTTTTGATCAAATGTGATTGATATCCAGTGCACTGTTTTACAGAAGAAGTCGTTTAAAGAAATCCTTTGGACCAGGTGAGCTAATAATGAGACCCAAAAACATAAATATACCTTTCAGGTATTTCAGGTAACATGACTGTAAAAAATGGGGTAGCTTGGTAGGGATTTTCTTTGTAAGGGGCAGGGACGGGGAGCTTATTTTAAAAATAACAAAAATCACCAAACAGAGATATTCAGACCAATTGTTTTCATTTTTTATTATATTTTAGTACATTTAAATTGGTTTTGATACCTGCCTTAGATACTTATGATTTTTGACATGTTTGTATGGGACATTTAAGCACATTCGAGGATCGGTCGGGGTACCTGAAAGATACATTTTTATTTTTTGGCTTTACTGTATGAGAGGCACTGGATCTAAATAAACAAACCTACATTTTGTATATAGGTATGGAAGAAAAGCTAGTTATGTCCCTATAACTACCATCACTTCATGGGTTAAATTGAATTCACTACATTACTGAACAGTATCCTTGTAAACATTGTGTGTAATAACAGTCAGATATTATGACCATTAAAGTGTAGCGAACTGTACTAGGTCGATCGGCTGTGACCAGGTAGCTCAATTGGTAGAGCAACCATCTAGAGTTCAGAGGGTCCCAGGTTCGAATCCAGGTCTGGCCTCGCATTTTTTCTCTCCCATTACAGTGGTGCCCGAGACCAACCCTTGTTTCAATTAAGTATTTGGTGTATTTTTGGCAAGGGGATACCCAAACCAGGGTTGTAAATAGTTGTGTCTTCAGGGGCGAAGACAAAGAAAAAGGATGGAGGAATGTAGCGGAACTGGACTGGGTCTATTGTTGGCGACCAGGTAGCTCAGTTGGTAGAGCATCCGTCTAGTGTCGGAGGGTCCCAAGTTTGAATCTGGTCTGGCCGTGCATTTTTCCTCTCCTGTTATAAAAAGATTATCCTATTTTTCTTTCAAATACCTTGTTTCTCAAGGATTCCTGTACCCACCCAAAAAACTATAATTATGCACTGGAAATTGTTTTAATCTAACATGACTTAAGCTTTGTTAAATCAATTGTGAGAAGAAAAACATACCGTCTGGGATGTTTTTATGAAAATAATATAAAAGGAATAAATAACCTACAAAGAAGCTGTAGAACATTGTTTTGATTGTAAAATTTAAGCAGGGCAAGATACGAACCTCAATGTTTTGCCTACCGTAGGGCCGGCTCCTTATTGTTTTTTTAGAAAATGTCTGTAAGACATGAATGGGCCATCACTATGTGAAATTAGTTTCCGTGTTTGATGTTTTATAAATAGTTACAACCACTTTGTTCACGCACGGGACGGGACGGACGGCATCACTATATGCCCCCCCCCCCCCCCCCCCCCCCCCCCCCCCCCCCCCATTTTATCACAGGGGCATAAAAACTCCTTTACAACTAAGACTTGTTTCATTTATCAGTCACATCCGTGATAACATTTCATAGAAACATTTGAAAGTGTTTTGATAACATACTTGGCTGAAATGGAGACAGGTGCAAGGTCTGCGTGAGGCAAGATCAACGTCCTGGGTACATGATTTTCATCATTCCAGCTTAAATCCTCGGAAAAAAACCTTTGGTGGTTCCGGTGACATATTCTAGGTTCCGAGAATGTCTCCATAGATGAACAATCCACAAACTGTCAAAGAAAACAGACACAAAATTACATTTCACAACGAATATTAACAAAACCCCATCATTTCATGGGCTTACAATCCATCAAATACACATTTTTTCTATAGACAAGCGGCCAAGAGGCTAGGGCCTGTATCACTCACTGGATATTGAACCAAACATGGCAAAATATTCTTATTAACTATTTCACCCCTGAAGACACATTTGACCTCTTCCTTTTCAAAGGTTGGAATAGTTCATTATGATATTTCAGGGGTGAATGAGTTTATAGCAATATAGCATATAAATCTGCTGGAGTGTTTTTCTCCTCATACCCAAAATCTACATATACAGTTGTACAGTGGTACATAAACATCCTATTCCTATGGTGTACCTGTGTAATGTACCTGCTGTTTTGGTCTACATAGTACACCTTGTTTCTATACACCTGTGAAATATATATAAAAACCATGAAAGAAGTTATATTTTCAACTCATATTGATCACTCTTGTTGGCCCGGATGTTAGTGTGTGGGGGGGGTCTAAGTGTGGGCAGAAAACGGAGTACTAAGAGAAAACCAATGTGGCAGGGCAGTTGACCCGGGCCCATACCTTTTCACATCTGATCGGGAAATCGAACCCCGACCGCCTTGTTGAAAGGCAAGTTGCTATCCACTTCACCCTGTGGTATGCTACATTCCAATTTTAGTTTAGAGAGACATACGCTATCATATTCATGTCCAAACTTGCATTGTCATAGTAAGTAACCTTACTGAAATGATTTTATGCCCACAGCCACATATATTGTTTTAGGGAGGTTATCTCAATCAGTTAGACCCAAAGACTACTTTGAAATCATTCATTTCCATGGGGATATTAATTTCATTGATTTCGTAGGTAATCTTCATCCACGAAGTAATTACAAGTCTAATATTCCGTCTTTGCGTATTGCAGAGTTATCTTCTCTCGTGAGCAGGGATTGATTGTTACTCCATTGATTTGTGTGAGAAAATTACGTCGTTTTCTCAAAAATTGATGACGTTACTCTCACAAACAAATGACGTAACAATCAATACCTGCTCACAAGAGAAGATAACTCTGCAATACGCAAAGACGGAATAAAGTAAGTCTACGTTTGAGTGAGTTCTTGTAATCTTCAAATTCATGCACCAACAAAAAGGTGTTTTGTCAGGAATCCACGAAATTTTGGCCCATTAACGAAAATATCTGATTTCACAGAAGGTCTCAACTGGCAATCGTCATAAGTGTAATCCTACACCCCTTTCTCACCCTGGACAGCTCCATCTTACACTCAGGGAAATGAGAGAAAAATGTATTATCCTTATTGTAGGGAAACATGATTTTTTGTTTCTCAGAGATTAACAATGTTTCACTAGGGTGAAGCCGGAGTTTGACATGATTTATTTTGCAGAAACAAAGAATTGTGTTTCCGTTCCACAAGGGCAATTAATATTTTATAATGCCAAAATAACAATAATCCAATCGTAAAGATGACCAGGTTGACGCGCAGTTGTTGTCGTCTGCTTCAGTCATTCGGAATTTGGTTGCAGTGACTCTGCCCTTTTTTGTGGAGAAGGTCCAAATAAGGGAAATATGGTCTGGGAATCACAAGCACACAAGGTTGACATGATGCTATATTGCCATATCATATTATCAATATCATTGAATAAGACATGTTGTTATAAAGACAAGGTATAATAGAAATTATAATACTGCTAGATATTTGCTCGTCGGAACTTGCAAAATCTTAAGTATTACTAAATGGGTGGTGAGGGGCAGAGTGGATAGCGCACTTGTCTTTCACCGAGGTAAATGGGGTTCAATTCCCCGATAGAATGTGAAAAGGTTTAGGGTCACCTGCCCAGCCACGTGGATTTTCTCAAGGTATTCCGGTTTCCTCTCACACTAAGACCCCCGCACGCTAACATCTGGGCCAACAAGAGTGATTAATATAAGTTGAAATAACTTGTTTCATAAATTATTGTAAAATAAATAAAGTTTAATTTTATTTTATATCTTATATATTGTATATATTATTTACCATGAGACACATGTGAGTGGGAATCTGGCCATCAGGGTAAGACATGGGGATAACTAGGGTGCTGGAGAATCGAGCCGGAGTCTTCACACTGCAGACGAAAGAATCAGGTAAGTATCTCAGGTTCACCTTGTCCGTTTTTCGCCTCTCGGATTGTATCACACGAGTAATGTATCGATCCATGTCCTACAGAAAAAGTCACATGTAAAAAATACTGAAGAATGTGGAAAACATTATATTTTCATGAACAATGACCTTAACCTTTGACCGATAAAAATTGTACAGAAATTGTCAAGGTTATTGGTGTTATAATAATAATTTGTTATGCTTGTATGATAATGTTTACGTGATATATAATACTGTAAAGTACTTTAATTTCGCGTGTCAAATTTGAGTGTTTTCCTACCTGGTACTTATTTGCAGGGTCTTAAATTCACACTGTGACTTTGTCAAAACAGACGTGCATAATCAAACTACTTACCTGTGCAGTAATTTAAGCTCAATGAGTCAGTGTGTATATAGTCGATTTGGTCATTCAAATTGTCATTTGTGTTGTAATTTAAAATGTGTTCATAAAATGTATTGAAAAAGAAAATGTGGGAATATATATGAAGAAAACAAAACCGTGTGTATTTTATGTGTTAATTAAATATGAAGAAAACTAAACTGTGTGTATTTTATGTGTAAATTAAATATCAAGAAAACAAAACCGTGTGTATTTTATGCGTAAACTAGATATGAAGTAAACAAAATCCTGTGTATTTTATGTGTGAATTAAATATAAAGAAAACAAAACCGTGTGTATTTTATGCGTAAATTAAATATGAAGTAAACAAAATCCTGTGTATTTTATGAGTGAATTAAATATAAAGAAAACGAAATAATCGATTCGGCTATACTGTAAGCATATTTGCGTAGCTGAATAGCGTGAATTCTGTACATATGTTAACAACTATTGTAACAGTGTAGCCGAATCAACATCAATTTGAGGACAACTCGTTCCCATTTTACACCTTTGTACATACGCTTCCCTGGTCATTTGTCTGATGAAGGTGACAGAGTACATACCATACTAGTCATTGAAACGTCACATAGAAACACTTACTGGTTATGTAACAAGAAAATTTTCAAATACCTTTGACATGTTTCTGGACATAAATCATATGAGAACTTGGGCAATCTTTTTTTTAGCAAAATGACAGTAAATACATCATATGTGGTCAAAATCGTATTTTATACAGTGATACGTAAAGATAACACTAGTACTATATACTTACATTGGGTTTCATGAGTTTATTAGATTTGTAGCACTTTTCCAGGAGTTTCTTACATCTTTCATACTTTTCCTCATCAGAGATATACCTGCTGTATATATCTTTCTCCACACGCTGCAATATAAAGATTAATGAATAATATTTGAATGTTATTTTAGAATTGAAAAGTCAAAACAAACACAAAGAGAACAATATAAGCAATTTAGTATGTACAACAAAACAGGTCAGCAAGAGTTCTGTAACTATATCCCCACAGATGGGAACTATATCCCCACAGTCTGTAACTATATCCCCACTGTCTGTAACTATATATCCCCACAGACTGTGACTATATCCCCACAGTCTGTAACTATATCCCCACAGTCTGTAACTATATCCCCACAGTCTGTAACTATATCCCCACAGACTGTAACTATATCCACACAGTCTGTAACTATATCCCCACAGTCAGTAACTATATCCAAACAGTCTGTTACTATATCCCCTTTAGTCAATTTTTAGTAAGTGACCTTAACCTTGATCTTAGAAACTTTTGAAATCCCTGTTGAACATCTACATACAATTTATCATAGTCAATCATCATGATATCAGGAAATCTCCAGAAACGAAAGTGTGGACAGATGGACGAAATAACAGCATGACAGACGAAGGACCACAGACGAAGAGTGGTTTAAATAGCCCGCTATTAGATAATGGTCGGCTAAAAAATAATCTGTGACTAAAGGATTCTGGGAAATAAACCATTTTATCTAATCTGTTAAAATAAGGTTAAAAAAAAAAAAAATCAAAGCGCCTCTGGGGTTTGATCTGTAACCACTTTGTCCACTTCCTGTGCTTCCCCATGCGTGAAAGCCTTCTGGGAAATAGAGGCTGCATACTGTCTTCAAAAACATGATGGTCTATACGGTATCGGGATTTATTAGTTTACAAGTGAAATATCATGAATTCTCCATTTGATATAAACATATCGTTAATGTAGTGAAGATAAACGAAACATTATATCTTCACGAGTAAAAACTTCACTCTTATAGTATTGTCCAATCTGAACGGTACATTATATTCTCTGCGTAGATTTTCAAGTTTTTCAAGTTTAATTGAAGTGACGGCAGACTAACTGGTTGTGTTGTCTACCTTTGCAGCATACACAATTGTTTTTTACATAACTACACAATTAATATCATTTTTGTCTGGAAATCTTACCAGATAATACCAGCAAATGTCAAAATTGCAGTGAAAACCCATTCAAAATGGCGCTCCGTATTGTTGTCAAGTGTGACGTCATTACAACTTGGCGTCAAAAACTACGTTACACATTCCCGCGCTTTTCTGGTGTAGCAATATTTGGCACAGCGTGACGTGGAAAAAAATGAAAGAAATAGAAAATTTCATGGTTTTCCCGTTCAATACGATATCTTTTTTCACTTGTATAAATCGAATATGTGATAACAACCAAAATACCAGCGTTGTGCCAAAATGTGTTTTTGTAGCAATCTCAGTCGAGAAGTAATAACAATTATTCAAAGGGGCGGGGGCTATGATTGACGCTTTAACCTAGAAGATGGTTGATAATTTATCCAAAATAGTCAAATAGGTACATTGTCAAAAGAAATATTTGCAAAAATCGCTGCAATTTTGACAAACGGTATAAATGATCTTTTAGGTTAATCATCTTAAGTCCCGGCTTTTCTCTCTCAAAAGATGACGTTATTGCCAAATCATTGATATTTAGGCTTAAACGTGTGGTTAAAACTGTATATTTGCGTGCTGTGGGACAATTATTGAGTGACAATAGTGCAAAACGTAGGGATATTGAGCGTGATCGGAATATTCTGAACGACAAAATTAATGTCATTAATAATTTATATAATTATAATTAAATAGATTCAAGTATGCAGGATCTGTTCTCTTGTGGTTGATGGACTGCCAGTAAGTCATTTTCATAAAAAGGTTTGGTGTCCAGTAGCTTTGCTGCATTTTCTTGTTTTTTACAGAATACCCAAATAAAACCATATCATAGACTTACCTCATGCACAGAATCTTTGACCTTTTTACAAAGGTTTATCTTTGACCTTCGCCCATCTGCTCCAGTCCAGAAAAGCAGGTTGCTATCTAATTCAGATGGACTGGTGACAACCATAGCTGAGGAACGCAAGAGGTGCACCTTGTTTCCACGGTGATCGCAGTACAGCTCCACAGGGGTGGGCATCAAGGTGGGCCCATTCGCTAACAAAGATAGGTAGAACATTGCTTTATGGATCATGAAAAATAAATACCTGATAATCAACAGTGATACAGTGATGAGTTGCATTAATTGTAGTAAACTTACTGCACATGCATTATCGAAACTGCTAATATTAAACATATACAACTATTGCTAGAATCATTCCTATTTATACATGTTTTCAAATGTTTCTTAAGGATCCCCGTACCACTGCCAAAAAACATTGTAGCTAAGTGTTGTAAGCTTTTTGTCCAGTATGATTATCACTTTGATAAATCATTTCAAAAAAGGAAACAATATTACGGGACTTTTATGAGAAATATTAACGATGAAAGAAACAAATTACATGTATAACCAACAACAGTGTAAACAAGAGATCCGCGAGGCGCCCACCATCGTACAGTACTAGTGTAAACAAGAGATCTGAGAGGCGCCCCCCATCGTACAGTGTAAACAAGAGATCTGAGAGGCGCCCACCATCATACAGTGTAAACAAGAGATCCGAGAGGCGCCCACCATCGTACAGTACTAGTGTAAACAAGAGAGCTGAGAGGCGCCCACCATCGTACAGTACTAGTGTAAACAAGAGAGCTGAGAGGCGCCCACCATCGTACAGTACTAGTGTAAACAAGAGAGCTGAGAGGCGCCCACCATCGTACAGTACTAGTGTAAACAAGAGATCTGAGAGGCGCCTACCATCGTACAGTGTAAACAAGAGATCTGAGAGGCGCCCACCATAGTACAGTGTAAACAAGAGATCTGAGAGGCGCCCACCATAGTACAGTGTAAACAAGAGATCTGAGAGGCGCCCACCATAGTACAGTGTAAACAAGAGATCTGAGAGGCGCCCACCAACGTACAGTGTAAACAAGAGATCTGAGAGGCGCCCACCAACGTACAGTGTAAACAAGAGATCTGAGAGGCGCCCACCATAGTACAGTGTAAACAAGAGATCTGAGAGGCGCCCACCAACGTACAGTGTAAACAAGAGATCTGAGAGGCGCCCACCAACGTACAGTGTAAACAAGAGATCTGAGAGGCGCCCACCAACGTACAGTGTAAACAAGAGATCTGAGAGGCGCCCACCATCGTCCAGTACTAGTGTAAACAAGAGATCCGCGAGGCGCCCACCAATGTACAGTACTAGTGTAAACAAGAGATCTGAGAGGCGCCCCCCATCGTACAGTGTAAACAAGAGATCTGAGAGGCGCCCACCAACGTACAGTGTAAACAAGAGATCCGCGAGGCGCCCACCATCATACAGTGTAAACAAGAGATCTGAGAGGCGCCCACCAACGTACAGTGTAAACAAGAGATCTGAGAGGCGCCCACCATAGTACAGTACTAGTGTAAACAAGAGATCCGCGAGGCGCCCACCATAGTACCATCTTCATTAGTTCTGTGTCAGTTTGATCTTTTCTCTTATCTGTTCGATCAGTTTGCCTATCCGTCATCTTAATCAATCTTTTGATCAACCTCAAAAGTTACCATGAGCAAGTATGATTTGATAAGCATAACTAAGAACAAGAGGAACTTTCATGTGAAATTTGAGAAAGATCACTCCAAAACGTTTTGAGCAATAAGGCTAAAAAAAATTTTTACTCCCAAATTCAATACAACCACCTGCTGACCATCTTGGTTTTCTAATCATCCCCAAAATTCAAAATGCAGACCTAAGAACCATTGGGAAACTTCATGTGAAATTTGAGAAAGACCACTCCTGATTATTCTGTGAAATAATACTAACAAACTTTCATTCTCAAATACAAGATGGTTGCATGTCAGCCATTTCAGTTTTGTGATCAGTCTCAAATAATGGTATGTATAACTAGGGATGATGTGGAACCTTCATGTACAATTTGAAAAAGATCCTTCCAATAAGTTCTGGGAAATAATTCCAATAAGTTCTGGGAAATAATTGCAATAAGTTCTGGGAAATAATTCCAATAAGTTCTGGAAAATAATTCCAATAAGTTCTGGGAAATAGGTAGCAGTATACAGTAGAGGCTTGTGGCCATGGGTGATATTTTTGTTAAATGGCTAACCCCTGTATAATGATATGTAAAAAAAATATGAAAATAAAACTGTACTAAAATTGGTATAAGCATGATGAAGTGGGCTATGTGAGCTTCACATTTGTAAAAAAAAGAAGATTTTTTTGGTTCGAGAATAAAATTTTGGCCATAATCCGAAAGGGTGCCTACACATGAAAAGCTAGCTTTACAGGAGGTAAAATTTTGACAACAGCACAAGACGTAAAATTGCAAATTATCTAGTTTTACAACTTTACTGGGACCCAGATAATTCTGCAACCAGGTAGGTAATCTTTAATTTCAGACAGAACTTAGGAAAAATATTACTAGTTGCGGGGGTCAAATTTTGGGTTAAAAATAGCAATTTTTGGCATTTTTTGGTAATTTTTGATGTGGTAACCATGGTTTTCACACAAGTGACATACATAGAAAAAAGAGGTTTATACACTTCTCAGTACTTTATATGTATTGTAATGTAATGCAGTTTATAAATATATATACATGTATACATGTGTTGTGTAGGGTAAATCCGCTGTGTTTACATTTCCTCGACATGTGCCTTGTTTATCAGAGTCAGGCCATTTCTACTGTATACTGCTACCATAGCACTAAGAAACTTTCATTTTCAAATTCAAGATAGCTGCCTGTCAGCCATCTTAATTTTGTGATCAGTCCCAAAAAACACTATGCATAACTAAGGACCATGGGGAACCTATATGTGAAATTGGAGAAATATCCAACCAATACTTTATGAGAAATAGCACTAATAAACTTTCATTCTCAAATTCAAGATGGCTGGCTGTCGGCCATCTTAGTTTTTCAATCAGTCCCCAAAAACAATATGCATAACTAGGGATTATGGGGACCCTTCATGTGAAATTTGAGGAAAGATCTCTCCAGTACTTTCTTAGAAATAGCGCTAACAAGAATTATTTAAGGATGGACGGAATGACGGACGGACCACGCTCGCAGGGGGATTTGAATAGCCCCCCCCCCATCTAATCAATCGCTCTAACTGATTGAGCTACCTGGTAAACGAAAGTGTTCTGGCCCAACTGTGATACAATTATATCCAAACAGAAGTTAAAGGGAGGTTACTCTATTTACTGAAAACTACATTGCAGTGGGACAGGGATCCTTATATAAGGCCAAACAAAAAATCAAGAATCGGGCTAATAGGAGTCCCATTCTTACTGGTCTATCAGATTTAAAATATTTATATCTGTTTAAAAACAATGTGATCTTGTAAGTAGGTCAATGTCATTTTCCTTCTCAAATTGCTCTATTCCAAAAAGCACCCAGCCAAATCTTATGAATCCATTCCTTTTAGTTCTCGAGAACAAATCCATTAAAATGTTGTTGACCTCTGTGGCATCTAAAGTAAGTTGAGGTCATTTTCATTCGCAAACTTTGTTTGGCTCTGTCCCAGGAAGCCACCTGCCAAATATTAAGATTTTATAACTACCAGTTCTTCAGAAGAAGTCGTTTAAAGTGTTTGACATATCTGCTTCATGTGACCTTAAAAGAAGGTCAAGGTCATTTTCATTTTCAAACTTTGTCGGGCTCTATCCATGGAGGCCATCAATCAAAAATAAAGATTATATACCTTTCAGTTCTTCAGAAGAAGTCATTTGAAGTGTTTGACACATATGTCCCCTGTAACCTTGAAAGTAGGTCAAGGTTATTTTCATTCTCAAAATTTGTTGGGCTCCATCCCAGGAAGCCTTCAGCCAAATATGAAGATTCTATACCTTTTAATTCTTCAGAAGAAGTCGTTTGAAGTTTTTGACATATTTGACCCCTGTGACCTTGAAAACGGGTCAAGGTAATTTTCGTTCTCAAACTTTGTTGGGCTCCATCCCAGGAAGCTATCAGCCAAATATGAAGATTCTATACCTTTCAGTTCCTCAGAAGAACTTTGTAGGGCTCCTACCAACGAACCTTTCAGCCAAATATCATGACTCTAGGCCTGTCTGTTCTTCAGAAGAAGTTGTTTAAAGGAAAAGTTGACGGACGAGGACGGACGGACGGACGGACGGACGCTGCGCCACGGCATAAGCTTTGTGCCAGGTGAGCTAAAAATGCTGTAAACAATGACCAGAATGTTCATATCAATTTTGGTTAAGATCTGACAGGCTATTCTAGGGGACAGGATGACAGATTGACAACAACACATGTACAGCACAAGGGCATAAGCGAAGGTGACCATTTGGGGTCAGTTGATTCACCTGGACTGTTGTCCATGTTGAATTCATAAAAGGATTTCCACGGTACAGTTTCTCCGGGAAGATACGGGAAACACAGCATTCTGTAACATATAACATGCAAAAAAATCCAATTTTAAATAATTCAACTGAATTGTTAAACAAGAAGCCCAGGGACATTAATAGTTCACCTTGAATTTTATTTTCAATTAAAAAACTTCCTGAATACCATACCAATTTATCAGAACAGTTCTAGAAATAAATGCTTTTAGGACTATATCTCTTTGGGTTAGCTAGACATTAATAGGGACATGAGTGTGTTCTTCATGCTCAGCAATTTTTTTATATAGTTAAGGGCTGGGAATCCAAACTGTTTCCATGTTACGACTGAAAGAATTTTAAGTTTTAAATCTATATATATCGGACCAAACCCCTATGCCCCAATGGGGGCCACACTCTCTGTTTGCATGAGGTTGAGTCCCCTTTGCCAAATGATGCTCTGAACCAAATTTGGTATACAGTAAAACCCCACTTCCTCAAACTCGGTTTACTCGAATACCCCTCATTCGTCGAACAGTTTGTTTCGTCCCGATCAAGTTTGTACATATTCTTTGTAAAGTAAACCCAGATTAGGCGAATACCCTGTATTCCTCGAACAGGTATGACCTGCCACACCTGACAGATATTTTACCTATGTATCACACCAGCACTGCCATCGACATATCTCGAGGCACAGGCTGCGATCCACGCTCATTGTGTTTATACAGGTGTTGGCTGGACGTCAGATAATTAGAGGATTAACAGCAGTATTATTAAGTAACTTAACCATTACCCTGTTGTATCTGTATTAACATTTTGAGTGCATATTTATATTTTCCAGACAATGTTTTGACATCGATCGATGATTTGACAGAAGTGTTAATCTTGGTGTGTAAAACCATATTTCTGCATGGCAATATTAAGCGGAAATTACATGGCCAATTCTCGACCAATTTTAAAGATATTCAAACTTAAATACGTCATGATTGTTAATTTCCTTATCAGTCAACATTATGATAACAAGGACTCAAGATTTTCTTCATTTTAAAATAATTGAATTGTGATATTTTGTAAATTTGAAGTAACCAACCACAGTATGGATGACTATGTCAAAACGACAAGTACGTTACACATGCAGCTTTTTTTTATTTCATTTACTTTCTTAATATCGGTGGCTATATGTTTTCATTGTTTAGCTATTTTTAATCTGATTAAATGCTGTCATTTTTATTAAACTTCCCTTTTCTTCCATCATCTACTATCTGCGATATTTGCAGTGCTCCTATACTGTCTGTCATGTCCCACATGAAAAAAAAAAAGGACGATGTCGGTCGAACCACAGAATATTTGAATACCATGGTATTCCTCGCAATATTGATCTGGACCATACGAGTTCAAGTTAGCGGAGTTTTACTGTAATTTCATCCATTCATACAGAAAGAGAAGGATTTAAAAGATAAACCTCCATTTCTCCTACTGGACCAGTCCTTTTGTCTCCAAGAGGTCACACCCTCTGTTTGTATTAAATTGAGTCCCCTTAATTTGCCCATGGATGCTCCAGGCCAAATTTGGTCAAAATTTACTCAGCCATTCTAGACAAGTAGGATTTGTTGACGATGGATGGATGGTAGATGCTGAATCACAGCAGACTAGGTTAGCTAAAAATTACATATTTTCTGTTGAATTCATGTCAATTTTTTATTCCAATATAAATGATTGTGAGCGCTTTTTATACTGCATATAAGATTTTAACATTGCTGTATATATTTCAATTAAAGACCCTGTGTGTAGGTCTAACTGGGTCATGTAAGGGGGAGGAGGGCAGTAACGTCTTCACTACTTACCCTGTGTGTGGGTCTAACTGAACCCCCCTTATGGGGGGCAGAACAATCTGTAGGTCTCCTGTGATTTTACCCTCTCTACTCAAAGAAAGGTTGACATCAACACTCTTTATGTCAGCTTCCCAACTCCTTCAACAAAAAATCATCCCTTAGAACTTGCCTAGCAATCCATTCCTTCCGTCTATACAGTAAAACCTGTCTTGTATTACTTCCCCTTGGTCATTACAGTAAAACCAGTCTTGTGATACTTCCCCTTGGTCTATACAGTAAAACCTGTCTTGTGATACTTCCACTTGGTCTATACAAAAAGAAATGTCTTGTATTACTTCCCCTTGGTCTATACAGTAAAACCTGTCCTGTGATACTTCCCCTTGGTCTATACAGTAAAACCTGTCTGGTGTTACTTCCCCTTGGTCTTTACAGTAAAACCTGTCCTGTGATACTTACCCTTGGTCTATACAGTAAAATCTGTCCTGTGATACTTCCACTTGGTCTTTACAGTAAAACCTGTCTTGTGGCTTGTGATGAGACTAACCATTCTGTGTGTACAGTCAAATTTGTCTGGTGTGACTGTCCCTATCTACTATATAGTCTTTTAAATTCATGGGACTAACATTTTACAGCTGTCCTTATCAGAACCATTTTACTGGGATTAATTCCTACAGCACTATCTATTGTCAAACTTGTTCGGACACTAGCTTCTTTAAGTATATAAATATCCAGTCTTTGGACAGTGAGATAAATAACCAACATCAGCAGTCACAGACATGTCCAATATACAATGAACATACAAGTTTTACTAACTTTTAAAGCGTAGATATCAGAATGTGAATTGTTTTACGAATTGTGTTTTTTTTGTTTAAACTACCCTAGCTGGGTAGGGTTTCAAATTAAATTATGCAAAATATTAAAATTAAAACCAAGTACACAGTATACAGCAAAACCTGTATTTTGCAACTTCCTCTCTGTTTACAGTAGAACTAGTCTTATGGGTCTATCCCGTTTCTGGAGAGTCCCTTTTTACAGTAAAACCTGTCTCGTGCAACTTCCTCTCTGTCTATAGTAGAACCTGTCTTATGAGTCGGTCCCCATTCTCCAGTTCCCTTGTACAGTAAAACCTACATTGCAAGACTTTTCATTCTGTCTACACTATAAAACATGTCTTTGGAGACTGTCCCTTTTTAAAGAGAGACCATATTGACAGTCTTCACAGTGGAACCTATTTTGTACTTACCTCTTTGATGCTTTGACATCGTATAATCTGGGAGGGCCGAGTCTAGTCCTCCAGAGGACAGACAAGGGTTTAGGTGTACCAGAAGTAGTGGGGCTCTGGACCATCTGCAGTAGTACCTTCCAGGGCTGCCTCTCGGGCCTTGTGGCATTGGCATTCTGCTGTCCGGGGGCAAAGAGAGAGTCATCCTTCCATCTATTATAAGAAAGGTTGATTGCATTGATGAATTTACTACATTACTGAATTAATCCAGAAATCTGGTGGTCGGGTGGTCGGGTTGTCGGGTGGCGCAGTGAATAGCACACTCATCTTCCACCAAGGCGGCCAGGGATTTGATTCCCCAATCGGGCGTGAAAAGGTATGGGGTCACCTGCCCGACCACATGGGTTATTTTTGGGTACTACGGTTTCCTCTCACATTTAGACCCCCTACATGCATACAACCGGACAAACATGAGTGAATAATGTAAGTTTAAATAGCTTGTTTCTTAATTGTTGTAAAATAAATAAAGTTTATTTGTTAAATCTAGAAATTTTATTTTTTATTTCCTTTTTTACCTTTTCCCACTTTAACAAAAGGGCAGATTCAACACAGGGACAAAAAAACTACACATCCATATGTTGATATTCGGTATTAAGACTCCTCTAGTACCGGTAATTATACTATATTATTTACATTTCCACCGCACAGAGCCTAGATGTTTTACTTGGCCCAATGTATGTTATTTCTGTATATACAATGCCACACATTTTTTCTTGCACTCTCATTGGTTGGATGATAATCAAGTAAAAGTTGGTGATTTGTTACATTGACTTCATCTTAATAGTTTCGGACACCTGGTCAATATTCATTTGATGAGGTCATTTCACTGGTGACTAACATTGCTCTCTGCTAGATGCGGTACTTTTCTCCATACAATTTTTGTATGTTCTGTCAATTTTTAATGATCAAAACTTCATCTAGCATCTAATACATGTATAACAGTTACAGACTATATTTAAAATATATGGTTATTTTTACCTGAAAATGTCATATTTACTGAGACGAAGCCATGCAGTCTCAGTTAACAACACTTTGTTCAGGCCCAAAAAAACACATATTCACCTCAACAAAAGTCCAAAATCAATAGTAATTAGTAGTGCCTATATACCTTGTAATCTTCCTAAACCCTTTCACCCCTAGGTAACTTTAGTAGACTCTACCATACAATGATCTGGATGAGCCCATTATGGTCAACAGTGGTGAAAGGGTTAAGGAATCAATTTATAATTATATCTCAAAACCCCTGTAGAATGCCAAATTTTGTTGGACAAATATAGATAGTGGCATTATTACAATGTCTTTATGTATAACACTATCTATAACCTGAGTAGGGTTCTAATTGTACCCTGTAAGGGGGGAGTAACAATATTCCTAACCACAACTCACCCTTTTAAGAGGAATGTTCTGTAGGCGGTTGCCGAGTCTTTTGCCAGCCCTGCCCATGCGTATATCTGGGACAGGTAGAAATAGACCTCCGGACAACACTGCGAGATCTTCTCCAGGCGTTCCACACAGGAGCTCAGCCATGACTTTACATCATCTGAACAATTACACGCACAAAAAGTTGACATCTTTCTTAAAGGGAATTTAACTCATTCACCTCTGAACTTTCATAATGAACTCTTCCAACATATAAATTGGAAGAGTTCAAATGTGACTTCAGGGGTGAATCAGGTAAGGATCTGAACATTTACACACATAAACATGTGTGACATCTTTCTTAAAGAGAATTAAAGGATCCCTGTGTCCCACTGCACTGTATTTTTTTTATAAACAGTAACCTCCCCTTAACTTCTGTTTTGATAACTGTAGTACCATTGGATCCAGACACTTCCTTAAACAGTAAGTCAGTCAGTAAGAGCAATTAATAGTACAACAGTCATAGATTAAATATATTCTATCGCTGTTATATTATTATCATTATAGATAACAACGATAGATTAGCAGTCTGAATTAAGGGTTTTAATCCAGCTTAATTTTTACACTCAGAACACTATTATTGATTATATTTTGTTTATTTCATCTTCACTGTTTCTTCATAAAAGTCCTGGAATACATGGTTTTCTTTTCAGAAATGATTTATCAAAGTTATATCGTACATTTTTGCCAGGGGAAACAGTTTCCAATACTTTACAACAGTTTTCGACAGTGGTACAAGGATCCTTAAACCTGTCAATGTTAAATTTGTTTGTTTGTTTATTTGGGGATTAACGTCCTGGTCACAGCGAAGGTCATTTATATGAAGACAGGTCATTAGGGAGACACCTCCCAAATTGAAAAGTATATACGTAGGAAAGAAAGAAAAGTGAAGAAAGATCTCAATGGAAGATTCTGATAAGTTTGATTGCTTCAATATTCTCTAGGTAGAAAACACAGGAGAAAACAAGGGAGTGTACTGAACAGAGAAAAGCTGGATGATCACTGGCAAAATCAAGCAGAGAAATACAGTTTCAAAGAAGAAAAGTGAAATCTTAACGTTGCAACTTTTTAAATACATTTTTTTTTCATTTCAGAGCTAACTGTCAACTGATTGTAAAATCCTAATTTTATCAGAATAGAATCTATGTATCTATAGAATCCCCAATTCTATAGGAGGCCCCGCATAAGTCGCCTCTTATAACAATGCAGTGGGATTATCATCAGGTCTGTGTTTTCCCTAAACATGCACAGGGCAATGTTTTAATTCAGCTTCATATTACGTATATACTTTGGTCACATAACTGCTGGACAATTTTTTTGCCCTTCGTAATGAGAGTGAATTTATCATTACAGCGAACATTAGCGAATAATTTAACATACAAAGAAATTAAATGTGAAGGGTAAAAATAAAACTGGGAGAATATGGATTTTACCAACAAAAGGGGAAAGTTTGATTGGGCGATAGTTTCCTGGTACATTGTATACAGTATATAACAGCCATTAGATACATCAATGGTTCTTGATCTTTAATCGTAAAACAATCAAAGGCTTATACATAAATCAGAAAAGCATTCTCCTTGTTGATTTGTCAATAGCGCAAGATAGCAATTTATTTTATAAAAAGGAATAATAGAATTCTCTCATAGGAATGCCCAAGGATCCTTTTGCATCAGTTTTTGAAAAATTACCCTCCACCCCCCCAAAAATGTCTGCTCGTGCAAATATCCCTTTTAAAAAGATATGCTTCAGTCATCAGAAACTATACAACCAATCAGAGAAGCTGTAACATACCTCTTCCTATCCCTGCGTGGAAACACAAGAGAGAATCTGCAGCAAACATTCCAGGAAGGGGATACGACAAACGTCCCGCATCAGGTGGCTGGACTGCAGTAGCCCACAAGGAACCCGCCTGCTGGGCTTTTTGCCAAGTCATTGGCCTAAAAGTATAATACAAATACAGATTATCAATACAACTCCCTGTATACTGTAAAATTCACTGACTTTTGTCGAGTTTTAATTTCATTCAATCTGCAGGTATTCTTCATCCACAAATTCATATGTCTATGAAGTAACTACAGGTTTCACACAAAGGTATTTTCTGCATACTGTCAGCTTTTATGGGTATTAGTAATTCATGAATTCATGTGTTTTTTTGGAAAACCACAAATTTTGGGCCCCGTGAAAATCTCTGATTTCACAGTATATGGTTTATTACAGACAAAATGTGAAACAGCTTGAGATAAAAAGTTTTACTCCTACTTATTTAATAAGTCATTACACAGTCCTCCTCCATTGCTAGTCACTTCAGCATTCAATACGCTATGTTCTGTCTGTTGCTTAAGTTGATTTACTAAATTACATAGTGACCACTTGTCTATACTGACAACTTGCCTATAGCGATCACCAGTTTCTGAAAAGTGACAACCTGTATTTCAAAGCAACCACAAGTCCAGAGCTACTACTATAGTCTACAGTAACACCTCTTTATAATGCCCCTGGTTTAATTTGCCACCTCATGCATGCACTTAAAGCCAACATATTTCAAGGTCCTGTTTTACTCTTCTTGGTAAGAATTATTTTTACATCATTTTATCACCAAACCCCTTTATAACACCAACATTTCTCTTGACAACTGGTGGCGGTATAACAAGGTGTTTTTTCGGTATAATGATTATCTTACTAAAATAACCACCTATCTTTAGTGACTGTTTCCTTAGTGACCACCTTTTCTAAAGTGACAATGTCTATTTATATAACAAATTGCTACATTGTACCACTTAACCTGTTTTTCTATTGAAATGATCTCTCTATTAGTATTACAACATATTTTAGACTTCAACATCCATTTTTATATTGATATTGGGTATATATAAATAACAACAAACCCGATCAAGGACATCAGTCAGAATCTTCTCAAGAAAAGGCCATAATAATTCAAACTTTTTCAGCTAAACATATTAAAATTAAGGTCCATCCCTGATCGTAACATTCAGTCTTACACCCATATAAACCGCACTGATTTGCAAATCTTACACTGATTGAAGTTCCTGTATATATATGCATAGCTTTCTTTTGTATATGTTGTGGGTGCCCCAATTCATCACTGTGCTTTTCTATCTAAATTTGATAAGATATTAAAATTTGAGTCAAGATACTAAAACAAATAATTCTACAATATCATGAAGGAAAAAAAAACTAACAATTTCTGATAGGAAAAAGATTATTTATAATAGCTCTTGTGAAGTCTTCCTTAGAATATTTTGTGTTGGTTGATTTGTTTAGAGGCAGAACACTGGAAACATCAATACAAAGGTATCGATTCGGGTATATATAACTATCATCTAGGTTTGGTTGCAAGTTTTTGACGGACATAAGGATTAAAATCTACCCTTGATCACAGGCATCAGCGCACAGAGCTCTGGTCTGTTGTTCCACATCCAGACTCCTCTTTTCATTTCTGTTTTTTGGCTTTGACAGAACTGCATCCTCTGCTCCTTTGTAAAAAGCAATGGCTGTCTCAGCTTCATCAAAGTGGGAATACATCCGCCCAACCTCATACAAGTATCGTGCCTTCTTTCTGTCTGTAAATAACAATGACAAACACTTCGAACCACCAATTCTTCTTAAACAATTGACATAATCTGGTTAAAAATGGTATAGAATGACAGGTAGTAGAAATTATTCAAGGAATGAACCTAATTCCAGACTTTCTATGCATTGTATGACTTAAAATTACAAATTTTAACAGAAAAATGAAATTACAGGCAACAGCCTTTGTTAAAAAAAAAATCTAACTTTTTCTCTCCCTCATTATATATTCAACCATAATAAACACTCATTCGTTGCTTATTTCTTAAATAATTTATATTTATTGACCAATGAAATTTGTTGTTACAGTGCCAATGAGGTAGATAACAAAAGGCCTTATAACATATATTTCATCAGATGCAGTCAGCTTCTTTGTTTGCTTTTATTAGACATCAAAAAACAAATTTTAGATTGAGACTTTCAATAAAGAAATCAAGTCAGTAGTAAAGGCAGTGATCAAAATATGTTACCTACATTTCACTTCGTTGGCAGCTAGGTCAGAAAAGAGGCGAGCAGCCTTCGGCAGGAGCCCCCGCGCCCAGAACACATATGGTAGCACATGAGGGTAGAAACGTTTTATTGTCAGAGGAAACCTAGAAATAAACAAAATATTATTTTAATAATTTTGTTATCACATCACTAACATATGAAAAATCCACATGAAGGCCAAGAGATACTGCTATTACATTATACACAAGCTGATATCAAAATAAAATGAATTTCGAAATCCTTATCATTTATTTAAAATCTCTTGTCCTTTTTACATGTGTGATTAATATTGAAGGCAAAACAAAAAATAATTGTTTCTTATTAAGGATTTGAAGAATTAAGGGTAGGTGACAAATTCATTTTTTGAAATAATTTTACATGGTTTATAAAGAAGAGTGATCCTGCTAGAAATTAATCATTATATACAGAAACTGGTCTTGAATTACTTTCGGATAGAAGAAGACGACGAAAACTTCAGTTAATCTACAAAATGGATAGGCATCAAACCCCTATAACTACATGTACCTAACAAATCTACTTCCCACTAAGGTAGGAGAAAACGGACATGCTCTTAGAAATAATGATAACTACAAAATTCCCACTTTCTTTTTTTCAATTTGATATTATAACTTTCATTTTAGAAATTTTGCTGCGATACAGAAAGTGAATAGTTCAGTTATTCTGAATCCAAAATCTGACTTGAAAATACCCTACATGTGATCGATGGTAATTATATAATGTTTCTACATCATTATCATATATTTTTTTGAATATTTTTTTTCAGTTAAATTTTGGCAGTATAATGAGGTGCCACTGTATATTTTTAGTGGCTTAGTTTCGTTTTGTGTTAAGATTTCATTATGAGATGTGACTTTTGGTATTAGCCACATCAACTTACTTCTTCTCTAGCTCCGACTTCACTCGTAAAAGCATCCGATCTGTGTCAGCTGACATCATGTCCTCTTCTGACTGGCTACTGGAACGGCGTTTCCTGTTTACTGATTTATGAGGGATTGTCGGAGGCAACATGAGATCAATGGTATTTGCCAAGACTAAAAAGAAAATGTGATAAAGCTAAGATCTAGAACAGTGTTCAGAGGGTAAAAATAAAACATAGTCAGATCGGGACCCCGGACTTCAGATTACAGCACACTTAGTGTAACAACAAACGGAACTACGGTACCTTAGACCAAACATGATTGAAAAATATAGGGTAGAGATATTTTGAAATAATTTGAATTTTTTTGGGGGGGAGAGGAGGGAGGGGGGAGGGCTTATTTAACAAATAACATACGAAAAAATCACCAAACATAGGTATTCAGACCAATTTTATTATTTTTCGTTATATTTTTTTAGATCTTTTGAGCAATAGCTTGGGATTTCATTTTGTTTTAATCTTGCCTATGAAAGATAGACGTGTCATTATAAAGATGCTTATGATTTTTGGCACATTAGAATTGGACGTTTAAGTTCGTCACCTGGTTTACTAGTCTTGTGCTCTACCAAATGAGCTGAAAAGAATCTATCCTTTGCTGAGTGGTTAAGAAGTGGCTAGTATTTTTACAAGGCGACTCCTAGGGGTAGCACTAATAAAGTTTTCGGAATTCTTGAAATATGATTTTTCATAGCAAAAGCAGTGTTAAGGTTGTACAAAAATTATATTTCAATCTATGTATCGTGGCCTTAGTATTGCAATTCGTATTGTATGATGAGCTAGCTGGTGATTCTCAGCACTATAAGCTAGAATCAGTGGAGAATCAGTGAAATCAGATCCAGAAAAACCTATCATTGTTTTGACATTGTCCTTACCTGATAACTGGAGTGTGTTGGTTTGGTGTTTTGTTTCGTAATAATTCTGTAGGCTCCAAATGAACGTGTGGGGCAGGTAACATGTTGCTGATGTGATATCATAAGAATCATGTAACTGATCTATTAAAATAACATGGGAGTACATGTCCGAACACCAGATGTTCCGATACACAAATGGAATTTTATTTTGGTCATCGTTTTTTTTTAGCTTGATTGTGTCACACTGCTCGACGAAGGGAAGTAACTTAAGTAACCATGACAACTGAATCTTCTGTAATCCTAAACGGTTGTTGGAAAGCTTGACGATTTGTTTGATTCCGCCAGGAATGGTGTATGTCACGCTGTCTCTTGGAACCTTTCTTGATGCTAATATACAAAGTTCTACGAGTGAAGGAACTTCTGTGAACACGGACCTGGATGCTGTCAGACTTATCTCTTCTCTCAAATCAGGGAAGTCGATGTCTATAAAATCGGCATTACCGAACGGAAAAAGTGGACCGTTTAACTTGGCTAATTCTTTTCTTTTCTTTTTTTGCTTTTTACTGGGAGCTTTCGAGTGTTCATTACCTGTATAAGAAATAGATTTATATGTACAGGCAATCTTTTTATTTTTTCCAGAGTCAACATCTGTACTCTGGTCTCCTTCAACGGAATCATTGGAACTATTGGTTGAAAAAGTTTCATCCAGAAAACACTCATCATGCTCTTCTTCGGCAGAAAAATATTCACTTTCTTCAGATTCGTATTGTTCATCTCCTAAGACATGTGCCAATGGGTCGACAAAGACTTGATCAGATGATGAGGCTCCTGAAGTATCCTCAACAGTTTCTGCACCGACAGAGGTAGAGGATTTCTTCGACCTCCGACGTCTCCTTCCTCCCTGGACAGGTGTGTGTGACTCGGCGCAACTGAACTCCTGAGAAACCATACGAGTGTATGTTTTCTGTTGTTTGTGACACACCAGGGATTGCAAGCCTTTCAAATCCTGGTCTTCCATATTTATTTTCTCCTGTCAGAAGGAAAATCATTATCATCAATCATCATCATCATTATCATGAAAATTGTCTATATTGAAGCTATTTTGAGATTAAGAAGGAGAAAACGACATTAAAAATGGTTTTCAACAGGACTTTTTAACACGATTTGTTAAATGAACTTGTTGTAACAGTCATTTCTATAGTGGTAGTATCCAATTTGTGACTAGTCCTTGATAGAAAACATAAATTTTATCCGACACCTTTGTTTTTTAAAATATTTTATCGTTCATGTATCAAAATAACCAAATAAAGAATGTGATTTAAGTTAAGTTTACTTCTGGTTCAGGGCTTTTAAAAGTCCTCTATATCAGACTCTCACACAAAATAGATATATTTAAGTATATTATCGGATTGAAAAATAAAATGTAATTTTTTCTTAGTACATGTATATATATTTGTTGATTGCAACGGTATGTTTTTTTGGTATATATCCTCTGCTTCTGTGTCATTCAGCGGCATCCTTCCATAGTATGAAAGCATTACAACATTCTTTATCATTCATTTCACTCATCATTTCATACAGTTCTAAAATATCTCCCCTTAGTCTCCTGAATGCCAGTGTTGATAACTTGAGTTTCTCCAATCTCTTTCCATGGGTCAGGTCCCTCACCTTTCACCTATGAGGCACTTACATAAAATGAAGTTTCTCTTCATTTAAATTCCTCTATCTTGTCGATTTGTTTTAAAGGCGTGGTGCCCACATAGGACTAGCATAATCCAACTGTGAACATACAATATATTTAGATCGAGGAAGAAATTACTTTATATCCATGAAATGAAATGTTTTCCGGAGAATTGGGAACATATAGTTTGCTTCTTTTATTTTTTAACTTTCTCAGAGATGTGCTTATTGACGGATATGATTCTTTAATTATAATTTATTACAATAATATATCCTTTTCCTGACTGCTTGTCTGAAAATATTTTCCATGAAGGTGGTACATGAAGCAGTGAGGTTGATCTTAGCCGGAGATTCCTCTGGCCTCGACACCAGGCTTAGACTTTAGGCAGATAGATGTCTGCCCACGCCAGACTATACAGCTATCTGTCAACATGTCTAAGTCTGGTGTCAGGGCCAGATGAATCTAGGGCTAGGTTGACCAAAGTTTATTTTGCCTACTGGTTCTTTTCTTGACATATCTCGTAGGGTTACATTTGTCTGGATGCATTTTGAGAGCTTTATATTTAATTTAATTCTTTATTTATTTTACGAGGATTACAAACAGCCCGAAGGCTACTAGATGCTCTCCTCAACATATATCAAACACACAATATGTACAATTACACAAAAGACGTACAAAAGTCGCACACACTTGCACTCACACATACACATATTACAGAGAGAGAGAGAGAGAGAGAGATAGAGAAAGAGAGTCAGAATCTGTTTGAATTTACGATATATTCAACAACATGGTCAAACAATGTTTTGTTCTCAATTTCGTTTAGAGTTTCTAATCCACATAAAATTATTTTGACAAGAACATTTGGCATGAGCTCTACAATAACGTTGGAATTGACATTTGGAGCGAATATATGACAAACAGCACGGAGCATATTGGAACGAATTCGGTTATATTTTGGACAAAGTAAAAAGAAATGAATTTCATCTTCGGAGGAGTTTGCGCAGAAGCCACAGAACTTGTTTTTAGTTAAATTGTAAGAGTATCTATGTTTGTTTAAAGCACTTAGTCCCATTCTTATTCTAGAGTGATTGATTTTTCCTTTCCCATGTCCATATGCATATAAAGAGTTTGTTTGTGGAGTGGATAGATTTGACAGTGCTAGAGAGAAAGACGTTAGTGAAGAGCTATTTCTCAATGCTTCAGGTAGGTTGTTCCAGTCTCGTATTGATTTTGGAAAGAAGGATTGGTGATAGAAAGATTTTCTTGA